CCTAGCTATTGCTCAGCTCAGTATATGGACTCATGCATCTTTCCACCTTGTTCTGTTTCTTTGCAAAGAGGGTTGTCCACATTTTTCCTCTCCCTTAGGTCTCCCTGAAAAACTGGAATTAAAAGAGTCTGTTTATCTGATGTATAATTTGTGTACTTGAAATGTTTAGGTCATTCGTCCTATTAATGTTATGTTTTTGTTTCTTTCTATTCCAGGTTACATCATGCAGATTTTTGTCAAGACCCTCACGGGCAAAACCATCACTCTTGAGGTATATCATTGAAATAGTTTGTTGCATTTTTGTACTTTGTACTGATTAGAAAATGTCATTGTGTTTAGTCTTAGGCTAGATTGGGTATAGCTTGCATCTATATATATAAAAATCAATGTTTGTGTGTTTGTTTGGCCCCTATAGACTCTGAAACTACTGAACCGATTTAGCTGAAATTTTCAGGATATGTTTGTTTTGATACCGGATTTTGAACCATCGTGGTTTGAAATTCAACTTGTCACTGTTAGAGATAGGTGACCACAATTTAATCCATAATATCCTAAACTAATATTTATACCTTTAGTGATTTCTAATTATAGCAACGTTAGTAATTGCGCATGCGCCGTAGTTACCATTCGCCGTCGAGTTACGTGCAGCCAACGCCTTCTCTAATACATAAAGTAGGTCGTGGTACAGCAAACAAGACTCTCTATATTTGCCACAATAACCATATTAAACACGATTTCTATTTTTTTTTTTCAAACAACCTTCGATTGGGGGGAAGAGGGGGGGGGGGGCAATCAAGGACTATCTCGACGTCGGCGCAGACAGTGACTGCGACATTAACTTCATTAACCGTGTTAGACACGTGCGATTTCTATTGTTGTGCCGTTTCATTAATATATCTGGAGTATCTGTCTACGAGAAAACAATTGCCTGCGGTTTTGAATTGTTTTAATCGCGACACAGTAGTAGGGACACACATCTCTAATAGTTAAGTTCTCTTTTCGTTGATCCGATTAAGTGGCTGCTTGGTCGAATGGTTAGAAAACTGGGTTCTTGTGCGGGAGACCTGGGTTCGAATCCGCAGCAGTTACATTTTTTTTACCCCGGACTAAAATAATATCCTCATCTGCTCTGTCGTGGTGACAGCACTAGCCATGTTGCCTTAATATTAAAAAAAAAAAAGTAAATGGGTAAACCATTTGATAATTAAATTTGACTATTTCGCATACTTATGATTGCATTTTTAAACTTTCCGATTGCATGGTTGCGCTGAAATTTCATAGATTTTTATTTATTTTCATTTAGATTTAGTTATTTCATCTGCGTTGGAATTTTAAGCTGTGCTGTTTACCATGGCGTTCATTTCCTAATTATGGTGTTTTTTTTCCTGTGTTCATTTGCTTTTCAAGTTTTTTTCTTTCTCCCAACTACTTCAATGAGGGAAAGAGTTGTCGGTGAATTGGGGAGGGGCAAACTATTAACTGAGAGAGCTTTAAGTCACAGTAACTGCTTTACCCACTTAAAGTAGCAGCAGCAGTAATAGTTGTGGTTGGGCTGTTACACCATAGTGCTCTCATGTGAAGACCGCCGGTAAGGTTATGGCGTTCTTCTGTCGGCAAGTGAAATTATACATCCTAACCTGACCAGTCTGTGGCGACAGCACTTGCCATGCGGAACCAAATCTTCTGGCTCACGACTCTCTGTCTACTCCGATGGTAACACAGATAGCAGTGACATTATTTTAGTAGTTGTACTGGTACTTGAAGGATGATGTGGTAAATATTACACCAGCCCCATTCACTACCTATTACAATTCCTGCTCCCTATTTTAGTCCAGATGGACAGGGATGTCAATGTCAGTTACAGCAACAACAAAATATCGCCAGGTAGTGATTTTCAAATCCTTTGAAGAGGGAGAGAGCAGTAGTCGGTGGAAGAGGGGAGGGGAGGGGGGTAATGACTTAAATTTAAGAGAACTTAAAGAGCTTTACACGTGATTTTCAAGTTCTCATTACCTAATTTGTTTATATTTTACTAACGCTACCTCCGCTTTTCTATTTTTTACGACTTACTTTGTTATTCACAAGTACAGTTGTAGCTTTACTTCCGTCCCCTATAAAAATACAAACAGCTTTAGCATGTGATAACCAAATAACCATTTTTGTTACTGTGCTAATAACACCATTTAAACGACCACTAATATAAAGACACAATTATAAGGTGCGTGTTCTAAAGTTAGAAAACCAGATTATCTCTATATCTGTGCAGAGAATGATTGCGACATTAACTATATTAGACACGTGCGATTTCCATTGTCTTTCTTTTCCAAAAACCTTTGATGAGGGAGAGAGTAGTAGGTGGATTTAGTTGTGGTGGTGGGGGGGGGGGGGGGGGGGGGGGGGGGCGGGGGGGGGGGGGGGGGGGGGGGGGGGGGGGGGGGGGGGGGGGGGGGGGGGGGGGCGGATCAAAGACTATCTCTATATCTGAGCAGACAATGATTGTATTGGACACGTGCGATTTCTATTTTCTTTCATTTCCATTTAGCCAAACTATGCCACAGCAACGCGTGGCCGGGTACAGCTAGTTTTTAATATAAACGAAATATCCTTTGTATTATTTTCGTGGAGTCAGATGATAGTGTCATTATTGCAGTTTTTAGGCATGGAAAATACCTTTTTTTACAGCTGTTTATTATTACACACAATGATTTATTTTGTACGTAACAAACATGTGTCGTCTGTTTCAGGTTGAGCCCAGTGATACAATTGAAAATGTCAAGGCTAAGATTCAGGATAAAGAAGGTTTGTGCGCTTGTTCGTTATTTAATTCATACTATACAAATGTATTTAGCTATTGTCTGCATTCAACAGTGTGTGTCATAGCTCAAGCTCATTTCTTTCATTTCATGTTAAATTGAAAAAAAAAAACCACTTAATAGCTTTTCTTTGGCTATCTTATGTGATATACATTGTAATTAGTTTGTAATGGTATAGTCTTCATTGTTTTTAGTTTTCCCTGTTCTCTTATGTAACATTCTGTATTACTGATACAGAAGCACTATTTAGACATGTTGGTCCATGATTAAATTATTGTAGCATTTATTTCTATGGTTACTAAATCTATGTTAAAATGTTCACATGTTACTACTAGCTAAGTAAAGAGTTACTGATATTCTTCCTTGGTCTGAACTCATACCTCATCATTGGTAATGAGTCGTTCGTGTTGGAAGATATAGTAATGGAACATGTTTTCTTTCTTAAAGATCGGGTGCCCTTGCTTGCCGGTATCTATTGAAAGAAAATAACAGTTTTTTTCATCTTACCTGGGCATGCAGATGTGCTGAGTCACACATGGCAGAGGACCAGGGCTCAAACTGGTCCAGACAAAACTTCACTGGCATTCAAGAAACACTGCCTGTACCACCAGGCTTGGCCAGTATTGGAAGGTTTGACATTTCATATTTATAGTGCATCTGCCCTGCGGGGCAAGGAACCAAGTCTGCACATAAAAAAGCCAGATCTGTAAAATGGATAAGCATGCAGCACTCAAGGTCTTTGAACACGACTAAATATCGAGAAGTGGATGGATAATCAGGACTTTCCGCATCAGTTTTGATCTGGTAAACACAAACATGTTTCAGTGTTGTTCTTTAGTAGTTCTGATACGCCTGGGTACTTTGTTTCTACTTTAGGTATCCCACCTGATCAGCAGAGGTTGATTTTTGCTGGTAAACAACTTGAGGATGGACGCACTCTGTCAGATTACAACATCCAAAAGGAGTCCACTCTTCACCTGGTGCTGAGGCTCCGTGGTGGTGGCAAGAAACGCAAGAAGAAGAATTATACCACCCCAAAGAAGAACAAGCACAAGAAGAAGAAGGTCAAGCTGGCAGTGCTGAAGTACTACAAGGTAGGATAGACAGACATGCTTGCTTGCTTTCTTCTTGCTCTGTTTTATGTAATAACAAATGGCACAAATTAATATTGGCATCCATGGGAAATGGTTGCATTGAAGGCAAACTTAAGTATACCCATGAATTTGACAAGATTTCTATATTTTAATTAGCAGTCAACTAGATATTTTATTACGGCTTTTAGATAAATAAATTTACTAAAAAAAATAGCACTATATAGCTATATAATGAAGAAACGCTTTGCAAAGAGAAATAAAGGCGGTTAACTTATTTTTCTAAATCCATGTCTGGTAAATTCCTGCCCCGGCATTATTATCTCATTCTACTCTGTTTCGTCAGTGGTACTTGTGTTGGTGATACATGAGGTGTCCTTTTTTGTAATGTTATGGATGGTTTTCCCATCATGTCACTAGCCCTCTTCATTAGTTTGCTGGTCTTCCTTTTTTCTTTAGCTCTGTCAGTCCACTGTAAGAGCCTTCTAGTTATATTATTAGGGCTATGAAGATTATGATCACTCGGTGTCCCCCAGAGAAAAGTCATTAGTGCCAGTCAGTTATTAAAATTAAGCTTAGTGAATGAAAAGGGCACTAGGACAGAAAATAACTACGTATAAAATGCGTTGTCTCCATGAGGTCATTAACATCACAAAAAGAGACAGATGACATAAGACCATATCTGGATTATATTGACAAAGAATGAAATTTTGGCCATCTAGTGAGACTGCAGCAAGGCTAAAATGAAAATGCATATGTAATTTTTTACAGCAGAACATCTGGGAGGAAGGCGAGAGGAAGACCAAGAAAGATATGGATAAATGATGTAGCCGAAACCTGCAAAAAAGATAAAACAGATCCATCATCCAGGCCACCTGAGAAGCGCAGGACAAATACAAAAAACTATGACACTGGTCTATCAGTGAGACGAAAAAAGAAGCCTGGTTAAATATGAATCTGTCCTTGTTTTTTAAAATTTATATTAAAGTAGTTAAAATAATTTCTAATTAACTCTTGTCGTGTTTGTCTTGTTATTTACATTCCCACCTAAAAGTAATCTTTTTAACAATGTAATTGGAACACTTTCTGTTGTTAGGTTGATGAGAATGGTAAAATCACCCGTCTGCGCCGTGAGTGCCCCAACAAGTACTGTGGTGCTGGAGTCTTCATGGCCTCCCATTTTGACAGACAGTATTGTGGGAAGTGCTGCCTGACCTATGTTTTCAATAAGCCAGGAGAAGAAGTTGAATCTTAGATTTTGATTAAAATTGAATGCATTAAAAATGCAGAAACAATTGCTTTTTGTTTGTAGTTGTATTTATTGTCATTTCTTTAAATGTTTCAGTCATTAGTTAGTTAGTTTATTATCATTGCACTCCAGACATGTCCATAGGTGCTCAGATCTTCCCTTCAGTGTGAACTCCAACGCCCGATGGCTAATAGAACCAGTTCTGTGTTGATTAACAAGTCTTTGATGTGCGTCTCGTTTTTTGCTATGCCAATCTTAATTCCCAAGTCTGCCATTCTGGCGAGTGATGTGGATTCACTGCCCCCTAAAGTCCTCTATCCTTCCCACTTATCTCAGGGCATTAATAATATCAGCATGAACTGTCAGAAGTGATAGCGGATCCAGTCAACCTATCAGCTCTTTTATTTCCATCGACGCCTGCGTTTACCGGAACAAAAATTTACTGTAATGATTCAAGCCATTGTCTTCGCACCAAACCTGCCTAAAACCCTCCGGATCCTACTAATTCATTGTTCAGTCATTGTCTTCGTGAAGTACCTTGCTGATTAGCATAGACAGCCAAGCCTCTCCACAGCTTGTGATCTCCAACAGCATAAATCAGTTTGCATGCCTCCCCCTTCCCGATGTCATATTAACAAATGGTTGTAAAGAATTTTCTTGTCTTTTCCGAGTGCTCTCTTTCTAGTCATCACATATATTAGTGTTCTTCTCATTACATGCCCCCTTTCCTCCCTCTCCCCCCCCCACCCCTCCCCCCCCCCCCCCCCCCCTCCCAGAATGGTTGTCTTTTTCTGATATTTAGGATAACGTCTTCACCAAATGGCTTTTTTCAAAACTTAAACTTCTGGTTGTCTAAAGATGTTTAAGCATTCTACAGTAAAATCACATCTCTTAGGTCCCAAGAAGTGGTTTGTCTTTGCACCCATTTCATAAGTACTAGCAGTTTAAAAGTATGCCTCATTGTGAAGCAAGAGAAATGGACTCCATTCTGTGAGTGCCACTTATGATCGGAAGACCCAATATACAGAAGTGAAGTTAACCAGCCATTTGCATAATCATGTGATTATCTCTTGCATATACAGTGTCAGTTCCCACCAAGGTTGGTTAAGTACATTATTTATTATTGGACATTACTGTTTGATTGCAGTAGTGCTGCAATCTTTACCTCACTGAGAAAAGTTTGGGCTGGGAACATACCTTAGATTTTCTGTTGGTTTGGTTGGCTGCTGCTCCTATTTAGTCATGGTTTGGATTATACAGGACATCATCATCATCAGCTGACTGGCGTGGGTGATCATGCCTCTCCATAATCTGCGATCTCCTGCCCCATGTATCAGTTCGTGTGCCGACACACCTCCATGCCATGCAACAAGACTGTCAAGCATCTTCTCTCGTTGTCTTCCTCTATCTCTGCTTCCACATATCTTTCCAGTGGTCACATGATGTTCTATTTTCACTCTTCTCATAACATGGCCGAAAAATGATGTCGCCTTCTGATGTCTGTGATACAGGACATACAGCTGTGTAAGGGAAAGAGTAGGCTGCTGGGTTTAGCTGCTGTACATTCTCTGGGCACTGATTTACGTAAGAAGGGTGGTGAAAGTTCTCTGGAATGTGCATCAATCAGCATATTATTATTCTTGTTCACTAGCTGGAAACTCCAGTTCCAGAACCTGTGTGTTTCATGCACATCCATCTGACTTTGTATGTAGACTGTTGGTTCATAAGTCCTGCCTCTCAGACAGATGCTCATAGACATGCCTGCCAAGCGGGATGGGGCGCTATAACCCTTTTCCCGGGGTAGATGGAACCCATTAGCTTTAGACAGCAGTACATCTAGGAGATGGCAAACTCCGAATATAAACCCCCAAGTTCAAAGTGGGTCTACGTGCTGAGGAACTGGGTGGCCACGGGGGAGTTGGTCATGAACTTTAGACCTCTAGCAGGCGTTCGGCACCAGGCGTATGGACTCCTACGGGACATCCATTGCCCCTTCCCTAGCAGGCAGGAATACTAGGGTAACCGGCATTTCCTCCAGTACTCTATTTTTTGCGCATATGGATTTTTAAAATATACATAGGAATCGTTGCCAGAGCTACGGGGCAGGTGCTCTGAGCTAGACACATTATTCGGCAGATCGTGAGGAGGAGAGGACGAGGGAATGGGGAGAGAAGAAGGCATAGAAATAGGAGGGCAGGTGCTAGGAGAACAAGATGAAAAGCGGAGAGATTGAGCTTTAAATCATGTAAGAGTAGGATACTGGAACTGTTGGAGTGCCCGGCAGAGAGGTCTTGTACTGGAGAGTTTGATTTTGATGTCATCATGCTCCAGGAGCTAAATACAGACAGATATTATATCAGTTATATAAACCCTGTTGGACAGGAGAAACATTAACAAGGTCGGGTGGTGAAGCATGTGGTGCTTGAGTTGAGCCAGTGGAAGAGAGGTTCAAGGGATACAGGTGGAGATTGGTGGCCTAAGTTGGAACCTCATAAATATTTATGCCACGGTAGACTGTTTTGTCAGAAGTGAACAATGGGGCTGACTCAAGGAATTGGAGTAGTTGACAGGTGATAGGTTACTCATATGTGGGGATTTCAACGCAAGGAACAGAGAATGGGACAGCAGTGAAGAAAACCGGCAGGGAATTGCTCTTGCAGAGGCCATGGTTGACTCCGATTTGGTCTGCATCAGTGATGGGAGGCCGACTAGAATGGCAATGAGGTCTGGAGATGCAGACACAGCCATTGACTAGACATTTGTCTCTCAGTCGTCGGTTTTAGATGTTAAATGGACTGTCCTGAATGACCATGAGAGTGATCACCTACCATGTTGTCTTGATTTCTAAACTCAGTAAGGTTAAGGTTGGGAGAGCACACAAGACCTTCTGGTATCAGTGAACCAACAACCTACTTGGACGCCTCAGACAGGGAGCATGCAACAGAACTGCCAGAACTAATTTTCTACAGCCCTTATGGTGGACTCCAGAAGTAGAACAGGCGTGGAAGGCAAAGAGAGTCGCAGTGAAGCAGCTAAAGAAAGTAAGACAGGCACCCTCAAGCTCACGAGAGGAAGCGGAGAATGTGAAACAAAGATAAGGTGGGAGTTTTTAAGCGCTGTGCTGCAGAGTCCAAAATAGCAAAGTGGGAAACTTTTGTGAATGATATGGGAGGTGATAAAACATTGGGGAAATTCTGGAAACTGCAAAGAAAAGATCGGCCTATGACAGTCGGAACAATTTGTAGAGACGATGGTGTGCGTGTGACAACAGACAAGGAGAAAGGGGAGGCTTTTCTCCACAGGTTTATAGCTTAGACAGATCATAATGATGTAGACATCTGGGATGCAGTTAGAAAGGAGTTAGCCTTAAAGAATATGCATTATGAAAACATGGTACAAGTGGAAGATATCAAACAAATTTTGAAAAAAGCAAAAGACACTGCACCAGGGCCTGGTGGAGTCAGGTATGGTCACATGAAGGCTTTGAGCGATGTAGAGATGGCTGACTGTTTTAACCAGAGCATTAAGACAGCATCAGTACTGAAGGACTGGGTGCACAGCTATCTAATCCCACTACCAAAATCTTTTAAAGATCATTCAAACCTCAGTGGCTTTAGAATCATCACCTTACAAAACACATTTGGGAAGGTCTTGGAGAAGATAAAGCTGCAAGAATTTTTGGAAAGGAAGAAGCTTCTCCCAAGAGGTCTGGGAAGCTACAGTCCAGGAAAGGACAAATGAGCAATTGCGGGAACGTTTGCTTTTGACGTCTATGAAGGGTTCCAGAACAGATAGGAAACTTTGGCGGTAGGACTGGATCTCGAGGATGCTTATAACAGAGTGAGATACGACATCAGAGAAGATCAGTCCATGGCTGGTGAATTGGGTTGCAACTGTCCTGTTTTCACGTCGGGTTGCTCTCCGACTGGGCTCATGGACCTCAGAACCATGCACTTTGGTCCCAGGACTGCCACATGGATCCGCCATCTCGCCTGTGCTATGTAACGTGTATACGAGCAAGACTGCAAGCCTAGAAGCACCGGGAGTTGGAAGGATACTGACTTTAACAGATGATATACTTGCATATAGGCAGGGGGAACAAACAGCCCGGGAGCTACAAGCGACAGTAGACAAAGTTGCTGAGTGGTGTACAGCAATGAGGGCTGTCGTCCACCCGGAAAAGGCGTCTGTTTTGTGGTGTTCTCTGGACAACAGAATCGTTAAAACTAATGTCCCAAGTCTCACGATAGATGGTAGAAACGTCAACAGAGAGCAAACTGAAGTATCTAGGAATTACATTTGACAGAAGCCTGTCATTTAAGGACCACGTGGAGAGTGTTGTGACGAGATGCCAAAAAGGACTTAGTGCACTTAAGACTATGGCTGCAATTGACAAAGAGCAGAGAATGCTTTTCACAATACATCAGCACCTGATCCTGTCAGTAGTTGATTATGGCCTGGGACTGCTTACCGTCTCAAAGAGTCAGATGGACAAACTAGAGCGCATACAGAACGCGGCTATGCGGGTCATTCTGGGTTGCACCAGAGACACCCCAGTGGTGTGTATGCGACACATCCTTGGTTTTCCGACGGTTGCAGGTAGGCACAAGGTGCTGCAGGCGAAGTCATACCCCAGGGTAGCTGCAGACACAGACCACCCTCTGCATGAAGCTCTGGGTGCAGTTAAGAGTCAGCGGCTGATAAGGGGGAGGTCATGGATGGCTCAGGCAGAAGACACAATCAAGACAGGTTTGCATCCTTGAGAACATTAGGCGAGGAGAGGAGTGGTTCAAAGTGCCACCTGAACAGTCAGACTTGTGTAGAGTCATAATCACGCTGAGCCGGGAATGCCGAGATTGGCCAGCAGGTGTCATGGAGGTGGAAATTCAGCAATTCATTCAAGATAATGCTCGCTCAGAGAATTTGATCATTTACACAGACGGTTCAGTGTCAGGGGGCAAAAGAAGTGCCTGGGGCTTCTTAGCAAAGGTTAATGGTCGACGTTTGGTGCAGGAGAGCCTAGCATATGACACCACAGCATTCGGCTTAAGAATGGAGGTAAAGGCAGTCACTTCAGCTTTCCGCTGGCTAGAGAACACGACACACACACACACACACACATCGTGATTGCAACTGACTCGGAAAGCATGCTGAGAAAGATCAGAATAGGTATGCTTCGTGCAGAGTGGCATGCTTCGCTGCAGAGGACACTGGTGAGGAGTGTTGTCTGGATTTTTTTTACCGGGAACGCCGGTGTGTTGGGAAATGAACAGGTGGACAGACTGGCTGGCTCTGCACCACTTGGTGGAATACTGATACATAATAAGGCAGATGGGGTTAGTGCCTTGTGCGTTTACAGTTAGGAGAAGCAGATAGATCATCACAGTCTGGTGAGATTGATGTAGAGGGAAATGAAGAGAGGTTCTGGCAGATGCTCGAGGCTCAGACGAAACGCAAGACGGGCGTTTAATCAGAATGTTACTGGCACCATTAGTCATTAGTATCTGAACTTTTCGCTGGCTACTGGATTTGCAAACTTTGCTGTTAGATAGCAGCAATTTAAATTAATAATAGAGTCGGCCGTGACCCAGCCTTGAGTGTAAGAAATGTATCTATATCAATCACACGGGGACAGCCAAGCATGGTACGGGAGGGGTCAAGGCTGCGGCCACATTCACAGGGAGAAGAGTGGTAACTGGGAAAGTGATGCCGTCTTCCTTGTCTGCTTTCACCCCTTCTCTTTCCCTTGATCTTTCACTCTTCTACCCTTTATTTTCCTTTCTTTCTCCATCCTTCTCTCTTCCTTTCCTTACTATCTTCTCTCTTGCTCTCCCTTCTGTTCCTCTACTCTTTGTCTCCTCCATTATTTACTGTACATTTCTTTACGCTATCGTCTCTCTCTCTCTCACATTCTTCTCCCCATCCCCCACTTTTTTTGTTAACTATATTTGCCATATCTGTCTTTTCCTAGTGGTTGTGTCCAGTACATATGAAATTGCATGAGGCTGTTTTTTTTCCATCGATGTTTTGTTATATTTGTTAGCAATTTTGACATATTTTTACTCTGTCCTGTCTCCCAACCTGCCCCACTCTCCTAATCTCTGTCATTGCCTTGCTCCCCATCTCTCTCTCTGTGACTGTTTTGCTTTATGTATTTTTGCCTCTCTCCATCACTTCCTTTTTTGTATGTCTCCCTCCCATTCTCTAGCTCTGTATTTTTCCTCTTTCTTTGGTTCTCTCCCTCTGTATGTTGTACTGTCCCTCTGTTTCTTTCTCCTTTCTGTCTACATCTCTCTGCTTGCATCTCCCTCCAACTCTCTTTGTCATATTTTTCCTCCTTCCATGTCTCGGTTTCTTTCCTATCTTCTTCATCTGCCCATCTCTCTGTCTACATGTCCCTCTTTCTTTTGTCTCCCGCTTTTTTTGCTCTCACTCTCCCTTATCCCTCCCTCTTTGTCACCTTTTTTCTTCCCCATGTCTCCCTTTTCCTTCTTCACCCTCTCTTCATCTGTCCATCTATACCTGCCTGTCCCTCTTTACTCACTCCTTCTCTGTCTTTCACACTGTCTCTCCCACATGTCTATCTTCCTCCCTCTCTGTATGACTCTCTCTCCCTTTATGATTCTCTTTCTCTGTCCTTCAGGTACCAGGTCTAGAACATATAGGACTTCAGTCTGGCCCCTCTGCCACTAAGTCTAAATAAAAAATGTAAAAACACTATATCATGTATGCGCATGAATAAAGTACCTTGTGTGCGAAGTACCTTGTGTGCTCATTACACCCTTGAACATAGGCAAAAACACATTGTTTCAGTATTATTCTGAGACAACCTTGAAAAAACTAAGGATACCTTGAAAAGCCTTGAAATTGATTGGTAAATCTGGCTATGAACCCTAATCTGAGGAAGGTGGTCCAATGACAAAAATGGACAAAGTCCGCAATCAGACAATACGTCAAGATCTTGATTACCATTCCTTACAAACTTGCGTGGATCAGTCAAAGCTACGATGGTTTGGACATGTGTGCAAAATGGGAGAAAATCGGCCATCATGGGATGCTAAGAACCAGGGAACCAGACCTCCAGTGCAACCCAGGGTCCGCTGGGAAGACAACATCCGACAGTCCCTAACTGACAGAGGAATGTAAGAAAGCCAGAAAGAAAACTGCAGACAGATATCTGGCGATCTCTCTGGCAACATTCTACACACCAAGGTAGAAGAGGAGCGACTTAGTAATTGGGGGAAGGGGGATGCTGAAAAATCAGCAGCTCACTGTCTAGAATCAAGACTTTTGAATAAATAATTTAAGGACAGGCCTTCATCAAACTTTCTTACATTTATTACCCATATTTTCAAATTATTCATTTTGTTTTTAACTGTCTTTTTCATGATCACAAGGTTCCAGAGAAAGGACTTTCAAGTTGGTTAGAAACCTTGCTGTGTGGCTTTCGGGGTCCTATTATAGGAAGAACAAGAATAGACTCACTGCCTACCCAAAAGGATGTCATAAGAGTTGACTAATTGGGAGCTTTCTTCAAAGTCTGAGTGCATATGCCTGAGAGACAAGGAACCACCAGTCTGCGTACGAATGAGTCAGATCTGTCAAATATATGCACATGCAACATTCAAGTTCTGAAACAGGACAACAATAGAACTTTCCGCCGGAGTTTACAGCTGGTGAACACAAGGAAGAAGAAGAAAATGCAAAAGATAACTATTGTCAGCAGCAAAAACGTGCCATGGCTAAAAACAAATCCTGCTTGTCCACCACATTTTAGGTTATTGGTAAATCATAAAAAGAAACAACACAATTTCACCCTGCATAAATTGTTATAACTGGCTCAAGAAGCTTGGTCCATGCTTTCATGTATACTGAAATCCCTGTGTGGGTTCCGAGGCAAGGAACCGGCAGTCTGCATAAAAATGAGTCAGATCTGTAAAACGGATGCATAGGCAACACTCAGGTACTGGAACAGGACTGCAGTCCAGAAGTGGATGAATCAACCAGAACTTTCTGCCAGAGTTTACAGCTGGTGAACGGGAGGAAGAGAGGAGGATGTATACTGAATGTGTGAATCAGCCCCATATATTCAAATGTTAACTTACACATAAGTAGTAATGTGGTCTATATCATGCCAGCCATATTAACTTTCCAGGTCATTTCCTGATACCTCCCTGTGTGGGTTCCGGGGCCCCACCGTGGGGGAAAACAAGAATAGACCTTCTGCCTACCCAAAAGCATGTCGTAAGAGTTGACTAATTGGGGAGCTTCCTTTGCAGTCGGAGTGCATCTGCCTGAGAGGCAAGAAACCAACAGTCTGCATTCAAGTGAATCAGATCTGTAAAACTGATGCACACGCAACACTCAGGTTCTGGAGCAGGACTGCAGTTGAGAAGTGGATGAACAACCAGAACTTTCTACCAGAGTGTACAGCTGGTGAACGTGAAGAAGAAGAAGAAGAAAAAGATTTCCTGGTACAAATTTTTAGGCCTGGAAAGAAAGATTAATTTGTAAAAAAGAAATTAAAAAAATTAGCATTTCACTTTGATTAGGCTACATCCTACTCACAGCACCCAGGAGGAAAAAAATGACTACTTCAAGCTGTAATGTATTAAATCAAGGTTTTATTTTCAAAACAAAAAGATGTAGAATAAAACGATCACTGTCCATACATCTGAACAATTATAAACTAATTATATATTTCAGCTTACTGTGCTGTCAGTACCAATAACATTATATGTGAATATGCTTTGTCAATACTGGGTGTAGGTATATCGTTCTGGGAGACGTAGGAATATGGAAGTATATGAGGAGACGAAATAAAAATAAAAGCGGTAATATATAAGAAATAATTATTAGTTAAGTAAAAACATATAGAAACATACAGATGAAAACTAAAAAATTATTTAATTTGTTGCAAATATCACACTTATAAGACATCAATGCAGGGGGAGGGGGTGATCGTTAGATGAAGCCTGTTAAAATATGGAGATATAAATTTGAACCCCCCCCCCCCCCCCCCCCAAAAAAAAAAAAAATTATAAAATGTAGACTATCACAGATTGGAACATGACACATAGTCAAATATGTTGCTATTTACGCACATAATAAAAAAAAAAATATTGTTTATTATAAAAGAAAAAATTGCAGCATTAACATCATTAAACTAATGCAATAATGCTGTCTGGATCAACAAAATGACACTATACTGTGTTTTCTATAAGGCAGGACTGATTCCATCATATCATATCAGTTTTGGGACACTAATTATTGTTTTGTCCTTCTCTGATAACTAGAACTTGTTTGCAACCAGTCTCAACAGAATGAGACAATGGCTTTGAAATGATGAAAAATGAACTCAGTGGCAAACAAAACTGTCATCATGTACTCTGCCAGATCTTGATATTTGGTTTTCTTGGTTAGTTTTATTTGTGTATCATGATATGCTTTGATGCCAGCTTCTTGCGCCATCTGGTGCAATTTCTGTTGGTGATCACTCCTACTGTCCTAGCATTTTCTGATGCCTCTCATGACATGTCTAAAGAAGAAATACACCGTTCTCTGTCTCTTTTATGAAATTCTTCAGAAAATATACAGTTCTGCAACAGTTCTGTTTCCTCTTCTGTTGCTAATGAATCCCATTTTCACGTTTTCCATTCTCTCTCTTTTCTCGGTATGCCTCTCTTCTCTTGGATTGCCTTTTCTGTCGCTGATCATTCCCATTTTCACAGTTTTCCTACGCCCCTCTTCTGATTACATACTAAATAAATAAAACTGAATTTATTTATCAATAATTTTGATTAGAATTTTCTTGTATTTGTCATCACTAAGGCTGTCAATATCCTGCTTGAGAGATTTTCCGTAGCGCTGTTCATATTTTGTCTTGATAGCCGGTAGGTCAATCTGGGGATTCAAATTAATAATTAATAACTCATAAAGAAGTTCAGTTTGGTATTATAGCAGTGTGTTTAATTTATTCATGGTTAATCATGTTTCCCTAAGACAAATCAGTGAAAAGACAACAGAACACAGAAAAAAAAATGTTGCTTTCACGTGTCAAGAGAAGGTTTTTGATACAGTAAATAGAGAATTACTTTGAAAAGTCATGGGAAATTATGGAACAAAAGGAACATTGTTAGATGGTACATTTAATGAGAATGAATCCAATGTTGCCAGCAACAAGAGTGGACAATATGAAAGTAGAAACACAAAGATTGTAGGGGATGACCAAGAAGATGGACTGAAGAAGTCACTGATATCCTGAGACATCACAGCATACCGGGCTACCCAGCTTATTATGGCTCGGTGTGGGTTCCATGGCCCTATTATAGGGAAAACAAGAATAGACCCACTGCCTACCCAAAAGCATGTTGTAAGAGTCAACTAATTGGAAGCTTCCTTTTATGTCGGAATGCATCTGCCTGAGAGACAAGGAACCAGCAGTCTGCACACAAATTCGTCAGATTTGTCAAACGGATGCACACAGAACACTCAGGTTCTGGAACAGGACTGCAGTCCAGAAGTCGACAGACAACCAGAACTTTCCCCAGAGTTTACAGCTGGTGAACGCAAAGAAGAAGAAGATTATGGCTAGGAAACTGATTATCTATTAACCTTCGATGCCTAGTGGCCTAGTGGACTTCCGGTCAAAATGGACGTTAGGCGGCGGCACTGTTCGAAACAGAAGCAAATTTTTTGCTTCTGCCGGACGGTGGCCAATGCATTTTTGCTCCATTTGTAGACTGGATATAGTTTCGTCAGCCAGCTTCTGAGTTGAATGCATGGCGTGACCCTGTGAGCTGCGTATTGCATTTGGAATGTTTTTTCGACTGTGACCAACATGTTGGTGTGAATTGTAGATTCAGAAAATGGTGCGATGCCTGTCATGCAGTGTTGTGGTGCCCGTATGTGATTAAAATTGATCGCGTGGGCAACTGCTGATCTGTTGGCGACTTCTGCTACCATCAATGATGAACTGCAATTCTAATACTGTGATAAACATTCTGTGTGTTTTTCGTTGGCACAGGAGCGGAGCAAAGATGGGGTGAAACTGAAGCTGATGAAGCTGAAACTAAGACTACCAGACTGCCTAGTGGCAGAAAGCAGAAAATGGACAAAAGAAATGAAGAATCAAAGCACCTGACATGATCTTGACCACATCACTCACAGAGAGTTGACTGGTGTCTAAACATTTGCCTGCCATCACAAACCTGATGAAGGGGGCTGCATGGTCTCGAGTCATGGTGTCTATCTCAAGTGCTGGAGGTTGCGGGTTCAATCCTCTGAAAGGGCTGGGATTTTTTTGGGGGTGTATTCAAGTAATTCCCCGTGGCCTCTGGGTAGTGAGATTGGATGCCCACATGCAATGTTGCGTCAATCAAAAAGAGCAGCCTAATGGCGCTGCCCGGGCAACATTTTGAGTTAAAAATTGGGGGGGGGGGAGGAGAGAGAGAGAGAGAGCATGTCACAGGAGGCAACTAATTAAAGGTGTTTCCTTCAAAGTCAGAGTACATACACCTCAGAGGTGGCAAACCAACAGTCTGCATACAAATAAGCCAAATCTGAAAAACGGATGTGCATGCAAAACAAAGTTCTGAATCAAGACCTACATCCAGAAGTGGAAAAACAACTAAAACTTTCTGTCGTAGTTTACAACCAGTGAATTCCAAGAATAAGAAGCAAACAACTGAAATGAACATATGTTTACAATAATTTTGGCCAAAGCTTTTAACATAATAACTGCAGTTGAAATGGATGTTAGGGATAAACTGAAAAGTAGAAATCTATCCTGTGCAGTCACAATCTTCTTAATCCCCCCACGAAAAAGGTGGCTGCCATCTTGTGTGGTGGTTTACAGCTAGGCTGCAATATTTGACCCTTTTGGTCCAACACATCTGATTTTAGTAATAGAGTTATAATTTACCTTTTATAATCTTCTACTGCATTCAACTGAAGATTTAATTGTGTTGTACCTGTATAAAACATGGTTGCATTATTTGCACCTTTGGGTCAAAACATCTAACTGCTGGGGCATTTGTTGCCTGGGTTAGCTTTCCCGGTTAGTTGCTTTCATAATCAGTTAGAAAGAAACTTAGCAAATGTGTAAATTAAACAGAAAAACAACTTGAAGTAACTGAAAATATCCATACCTCAGATCTGGCAATTAGGATATTTGTCAGCTGTTTTTTGTTGCTGCCATTGTTCTTCAAAGACTCATTGATCATCTCCGCGAAGAAACTGCTCTGGTCTTTCAGGGCTTTCACTGTGAACATGAAAGATTTATGCTATGGACAGCTTTCATGCTTGTAAAGTGTGAAATCTAGTACAAATGAAATAATTCTACTTTATGGATCATGCCAACATTGTTAATGAATGCTCTTAGAGAGATGGGGTGATCAAAGGATTTTAGGAACAGAGCATCTACATCTCTGCTAAGAAAGCATGAACTGGGAATACATATTGGTATAGTCAGACATGAGAGAGATGCTGAACGTAAGAGAAGTACTGTCAGTCAGCATAGGACTGGCATTATTAACTGTGGGATACCGACGTATATGTTGACGGGAGAATTCAAGCACCTATGGATGTGTCTGAAGTGCCGTGAAGATAACCAAACTCATAACTCAGTTATACTTTGTGTCTGTCCTAGATTGTAACTCTGGATATGAACTTTCCTTTTCATTTCACTGTCTTCGTGAAGTAAGTTTTCTTGCACTTATTTTGTCAAGCCAGTGGGTTAGAACATAGATTCTGCAAGCATTTCTTTTCCTCTTTCTGGGTTAACTGTCCCTAGCCCCTGACTGTCCCCAGTCTATCTAAAAGACAGCAGGGTTGTGTCCCTTTTTGTCTGGCCCCTATTTTTAACCTGATCAATGTGGGAAACCCTACCAGTAGCTAAGCTACCATCAGCCTAACTCTTGAGTCACTGACATTCACAAGGTCCTGTACCACACCAAAGTGAAGACACATCACACAGAGTTGTTTATTACCATATTTTCCATGTATAATACAATCTGAAAGCAATTTTTTCTCGTAAATTTGAACAAAGTAGACACAAACAATATATTGCACAATTTATTGTCTGGCATAGTTCACTGTATTTCATTAGGTGTTTACTAGAATACAGAATATGTATTGCAAAAAGTTAAAGACACTGTGCCTGGGCCATACAGAGTCAGGTATACCCACATGAGGAGCATTTGTGACTTGAGAGAGATGGCTTTTCAGTTCAACCAGAGCATCAGAACAGCTTCAGTACTCCAGGACTGGGTACACAGCAACCATATCCCAATTTCAAAATCAGGCATCTTTTTGTCTGCTGAATTCAGAAAACATTTTCCTGGCAGATGGTTCAAAACTCTCATCCCCCTGTCTGAAAGCCAACAGAACTTTTATTTTCTAAATCGCCCACACCTTAGCAAATCTTAAAGACTGCACTGTGAAACAATTAAAATTTTGAAAGGATTTCATACAAAATCTACAGTGAAGAGATAAACAGGAATGAACCTCAAGAAAATTCCTCACCAATAGCAATGCATGCATCATCAGTGTCCCCACAATTTGCTCTCTTTAGTGAGTTGATGACGTCTTCTTTATAAAGCTGCAAATTTGTAAAAAAAAAAAAAAAATTGTATTTTTTTTCCAATGAAAATTAAAGTGTAAATTATGGGTTTACTTCTATTCGCTCCAATTTTACACCTGGCATGGTACAGTTAAATAGAAAGGACATGGTGGGAGATGGCAAAATATGGGACTGTTTAACATAAGCTGGCTGAAGACATATTCTTTAAAGAAGGATTCCTTTGGCACTATGACCCATTGACACAGTTTGTGGACATGTCCACATTTATACACTTTTTATTATGTGTTTCCTAAACTCTGTACACAAATTACAATTTCTCTCTTTCCTCCCACTCAATCTCATGATTCAGAACTCCTGTTTCCCACTCTGCACCCCCAAATTTCACGATTGCCTTTATACTTTTTTAATTTCTTTCTTTAAAAATTTAATGAGTCAGATAACTATCATATACTTTATATCATTCTCTTGTTTAATGTTAAAAGATGAAACAAGAATCGACATCACAGCATTCAGGACACTCCCCATTTTCAGCAGCAAGCAAAGAATTCAAATTCCGATGGTACCAGTAACTGTCTAACTGTACACCCATCTTGCCTTTCCTTTGAGTGTTGAGCATCGGCCAGATCCCCTGGTAACTCCCCGCAGCACCATTCTTCTCAGACCATAATGATCTGTTTGTGCCTCTGCACTGTTCACTTGCTCTCAAAGGGCCCTCATAACATCCAGCTTGTCATACATCCATTCACCACCAAGTGGTGCAGAACGGGTCAGTCTATCTGCCTGCATATTTTCCATCACACCAGCATGACCTGGAGAAAATATCCAACATGTGCTAAATACCTGCGACCTCTATTTTGTTTAATATGTTTACATACTATTTGAATTTTAAGATGAAGTTTATCTTAATCATTTTATTTTTCGTGATGTGTATTTTTTGGGCGCCATTGTTTACTGATGAAGCCTAGTTGCAGCAACATCCTTTGTTTGTTTACTGTAACTGGTTCTGTAAAGCTGACATACATTCCTGCCCAGTCTTTTTTTTTTCCAGTGTGAGAGTAAGGACACCAGAAGAATGTGGGTTTTCTCTGATATCTCAGAAGGCTTGACATTATTAATTATCCAAGAGGTCAGGTGGATGGGTGATCTCGGTAGTCAACAGATTTTTCTTTTAGAATTTCCAAACATGAAAAAGATGTCAAATATAACAACTGTTTTTGCCCCCTCTTAACAAACTGACACAGAATGCAGTAACAGTATCATTTACAAACCAAGCGAAAAAATGATATCAAGAACATGTGAATACCTTTTTGTGAGCTTCTGCAATGGCATTCACTTGGTTACAGCTGTTTTCTACAAAAATCTTTCTCAGGGTTGCTGCTGTTGGTTTCTGGAGAGAAAAAAAACAACAAAATTATTTACAATGTTTAGACTTGACTGGAAGCTTAAGAGATTCATTGTTGCAGGTTGCAAAAGATAAAGTGAGCTGAAACAAGATCAGGTGAACAGACCCTAAAATATTGGTGAATACAAACGTTTTTTCTTCTCTTTATCCAGTTAGCTCATAGAGGAATTGTAATCTTCTATGTGCTCTTTCTAATCCGTTGCATAAGTTGATCTTCACTTCTCTGAGGCTGTTCTTGATGCTTTTGCATGGTTTTCTCATTGTTCTTTATTCACTGTGTTTCATCAGCATGGCTGTTTGTGGTAGTTGGTACCAGGGCATTCTGGACAGATGACCATGTAATCATTATCTGTTGCTTTTTAATGAACTGTATAACTGGTTTCAGTCCTAATCTTCTTCTAATTAATTCATTTTTAATTTGATCTCTTCTTGTTTGAAGCCCTACCCTGGCTTTTGCCAGGGGTCGCAATATAGGCAGGCCAAAAATATGGCCAATTAATTGTCTGAACGCGGTTTCTGGGACCTCTCCACGGCGATCCTCATCCACATGGTGGCACTTTGTGTCATTGGGTGTTTATCCCTTGTGTGATGTCCGAGGGAGGTAGAAAGTCAGTCAGTTACTCTGACAGCTTTTCTAAAACATCTCACTTTAAAAACAATTACTAAAAACTAAACAAAGACGTAGGTTGTCTTAGCTTAGTGCTTAAAACTAGACATGGAGGTCTCTACTGTTGAGGTCTTGAAAGAACATTCAGTAGAAAGGAAAATCCAGACACCTAAGTGGAAGTGCAAGTCTGAACTCTTACTTGACGTATGTGACTGAAATGACCCCACAATTGACGCTGGGTGCAGGCTAATGTCCAGCTGAATTTTGTTTCTTCTGAGAATAAAGAGTAAGGGAGTGGTCAGATAATCAATACATCTTCAGACAGACTTTTAACTTGGAATTGAGTCACCATCATCATGTGCTGTGCTCATAAGTGTAGGGTGCCATTGTTTAGTACCTTGTTCAATCTCATAAGCCTGAACACAGGATTTGAGTCATCTCCTGCATACTGCTAATTTTAGACCATGATTTTTACTTTTTGTCAGTAGAAAGATAAAGGTAATCCCGTTACTGCTGATGGGGTGTGAAGTGTTAGTGATCACATATTCTAGGCCATGACATATGAGACATGGTGGCTAGTTCCCCTCCCATCACCTTTCCTTCCCAGACTATTTCTAGTAAGTTCTGGAAATTATCGTCTACTCGCTTTTATGAGGCATCACAATCACATTTAAATTTTACACATATAAATAATGTGACACCACACACCTCATGTATGGCTTTTGCATCGTCTTCAGCACGGGCCGTGTTGACAGCTGTAGTCTGTTCTCTCCTGCCACTGACCAGCTGCAGCAGAAGCTCTCGGACATCTCCACTGGTGGCCATCACAATGTCCAGTTCCAGATCATTCTTGTAGACTGGCAACATAAAAATATGGCCACTCTAAGCAACCAATATTTATATTATAGGGAAAACAAGAATAGAACCACTGCCTACCCAAAAGAATGCCATAAGAGTCGACTAATTGGGAGCTTCCTTCAAAGTCGGAGTGCATCTACCTGAGAGGCAAGGAACCAGCAGTTTGCATACAAATTAGTCAGATCTGTCAAATGGATGCACACACAACACTCAGGTTCTAGAACAGGGCTACATTTCGAAAGTGGATGAACAACCAGAACTTTCAGCCAGAGTTAACAGCTGGTGAGCACGAAGAAGACTAAGAAGAAGATTTATGTAAACAACAAAGGTGAAAAAAAATCTGCTGATAATTTATCATCTCCACCACTGCCCTTTCTAAGCCAGTTTAAAACAACAGAAACAACAGGAAAGGCCAACAAGCTTCAACCGTTTGGCTCTGAGAAGCAGCAAAACGGACACTTCCGGTTGGGTCAAAATCCCTGTTAATGTCACTTTTCTGACTTGCCTATAGTGACCTAGTAATGAAACACATGAGTTAATTATTTTGGTTGTATTCCCACTTGCGGAAACATTTATTAGGTTAGGATACATTAACTAACAATAGCATTTACGAGGTTTTCCTTAGAGCCAAACAACTTTTTAAAAGTCAAGTTGACATTTAATTTTTCCTGTAAGCCTCAGTAACATAGGTCACACTGTGAATCACCCGATACATATGTATATATATTTTTTTGCAGTCCCAAGGGTTTAGCATCAGAGGTGTAAGGAGTAGTAAAGAGAGATATAAAATAGGTGCATCTTGCGTTCATTGGGCTTCTACGTAGGAACCTAAAAATGTATGGTGTGTTCCTTGGGACTGAAAGAGTTAACAAGCATGTCATAAAAGATGTGTAATTAGGGCTTTGCTAAAACTGGATGTGTTTGTGTGTTAGGCCAGTGGTTCTTAGTCTTCCTAATGCGGCGACCATTCAATACAGTTCCTCATGTTGTGGTGACACCTGCCTCCCCCCCTCCCCCCCCAAATCATGAAATTAATTTTGTTGCTACTTCATAGCTTCAGTGAATATGTGTTTTCCGATTGGTCTTAGGCGACCCTTGTGAAAAAGCCTTTTGACCCAAAACAGGGTCGCAACCCACAGGTTGAAAATCGATGTGTTAGGCCAAAAGGTGCTTATATCTTAGCCTAGCTGTAAACTGCAATACAATGTTCCACCTGCCCTTTAACTAAGAATTCTGAAAAAGAAGAAGTACCTTGCTTATACAGATCTTTGACATGCTTGAGCTCATTTTTGTTCTTTGAGCAAATGGCCCCAATCAAAAAGGAATCATCTCTGCTAGCATCAGTGACAGTTTCGTGCAGACAATAAGCTTCAAACTCATCTGGTGGCTTCATCAATGACAGGACAAGCTGTTCCGTGTCACCAGTCAGCTCAGATTTCAAGTCTTTGATGAGATCCTTCAATACATGTTGAAAAACAATGGTGTGATACATTTAAATACACATTAGTTCCTAGTCCAGTATGATGCAATTCACTCAAGTTTACAACTACTGAGCATTTCAAATTATTTGGTGCACACTAATGCAAAAATTGGTATCTTCTTCTTCATCTTCGTGATCACCAGCTGTAAACTCCAGTGGAAAGTTCTGGTTGTTCGTCCACTTCTGAACTGCAGTTCTGTTCCAGAACCTGAGTGTTGCATGGGCATCCATCTGACAGATCTGACTAATTTGTGTGCAGACTGTTGGTTCCTTGCCTCTCAGGCAGATGCACTACGACTTCGAAGGAAGCTGCCAATTAGTCGGCTCTTACGACATGCTTTTGGGTAGGCAGTGGGTCTATTCTTGTTTTCTCTATAATAGGGCCCTGGAACCCACATGGGGAAAGAATTGGTATAATATACATTTATTTACAAATGTTTAGGCCTGATTTGTATCTCAGATGGTTTAATTATAACTATAATTTAGAAATTAGAAAAAAGAAGCATGTCAAAATTACTTTTTCTTCTTTTTTGCATTCACCAGCTGTAAACTCTGGTGGAAAGTTCTGGTTGTTCGTCCAGTTCTGGACTTTAGACTTATTCCAGTACTTGAGTTTTGCATGCACATACGTTTTACCGATATGGCTTATAAGCAAGCAGACTGTTGGCTCCTTGCCTCTCAGGCATATACACTTCTTCTTCTTCACATTCCCTGGCTGTAACATTTGACAGAAAGCTGTAGTTGATCGTCGATTTCTGGACTTTGATCTTGTTCCAGAACTTGAAGTTTTGCGTGCACAGCCGTTTTACAGATCTGGCTTATTTGTGTTTGTATGCAAAGTGTTTATTCCTGACTTTTCACGCAGATGCACTCCAACTTCAATGGAAATGCCTCTATTAAGTTGCCTTTCATGTCATGCCTATTAGTGGGCAGTGGTTCTATTCCTTTTTGCCTCAAAATAAGGACTTAGGAAGAAAACAATACTTGAATTTATATTCAGATAAAATTTGACACACTTAAAAAAACTATCTGAAGACTCTATAGCAGCACTTCTGGTTACGTTACATACACACGGATCCTTGCCAATGTTACAGTGTTAATGATTTTTCGAGAATATCCTTTTATGATCAATGGATGGCAAAGAAGGAAGATGGAGATGGGTCGGACATGTTTGCAGAATGCCTCGTGACACTCTGGCAAGGACATCTCTCTGGTGGACAGCAGACGGGGGAAAAAAAAAAGATGTCGATGACCTAGGAAAACATGGAGGAAGACAGTAAAAAAGTAAATGAAGAAATGTAACATGATACAGGATACCATGGGAAGAAAATCAGCAGACCGGCAATAGTGGAGATCGCTTGTGAATGTCTTGTGTTTCAACGGCATGAAGAATATATAGAGACAGACAAAAAGATCTGTGTAAAGAAAATCTATGCTGCGTAATAAATATGCAGATCTCTCTTAAGAATTTGTTATGATGCAGTAAAAGTATGCAGACCTGATTATAAAGTTCCTGGTATCTCTTCTTCAGCTCCTGTCTGTCATCATTGGAGTTCTTGACAATGACATCAACAATTGTGTCTTCATCTGTACCAACTTTGTGCATGGCCTGGTACAGTTGTTTTGCATCTTCGTCCAGATCAGCTTTCTTGTCTGGTTCTGAAGGTGGGGTATTGTCATCATCATCATCATCCTCAGGGTCTTTTTCATCAACTTTATCAATTATTCGTAGTAAAGCCTTCTGATAGTCTCCACTGGTCTCTTTCTCCACATCTTCTCTGAGGGAATGTTCATAGAGTTTGCGATATTTTCCTTTGATGGCAGGAAGGTCCAGCTGTAGAAAATTTATACATTTTATCAATAAATCAAGACAATTCATAGTAGTGCAATGGCTGTATGCTTGCATGCTGGCTCAAAAGTGTGCGGTTAAAATCTGCATCAAGGCAGATTTTCACAATTGTTCTAGGCTCTCATGTTGACCCAGTCTAAACTGCGATAAGAAATATAATTGGAGGTAAAGGAAATGGGAGTTATGTTGACCACATTACCCATCTCACGCTGATTGGTCACTGATTAGACTACGGGTCTGGGACCATATGTCGACATGCTGGTGTGGCATAAAAATGGGTTTTTAACAACTCTAAACAGTAGTGAAATATACAGATACTTGCACAGCTTGACAAAGCAAGTTGGCAACAATTTTTACCCAAATGTGTTCCCAAAAGAGTAGTCAATGGCAAATGGTAAAAAAAAAGGCAAAAGATACATTTGACTGACAATCTTCATGAATGGAGAGGTTATTACATTGTTAAACTTCCATGTTTTGATGAATGAACTGAGTAATGAAATCCCTTGATTGCTAACACATCTATCATCACACCCTAGAGCACTGGAGGAAAGGAATACAGAAGCACTGGTAACTTTTGTGGTTAGAAATGAGTAGTAAATGAGACTCACCTCAGACTGAGAAACAACTATCCTTGTCAGGTGTCTTTCTTGTGTTCCAATATCTTTCATAGAGTCTTTCAAACATTTTGCATTAAATGTTGTCTGGTTTTGCAAGGCTGCCACTGATAAAAAATGCAATATGAAACATTTAAATAAGACTAGTTCAGTTACAGTTCCTTCTATGTGCTATAACAAGCTTCTCAAACTATATTCTGAATGCCACAACAGATTTAAAGCAAACCTATTAGTTTAAAATTAAACAACAACAGCATCTTGCTTTTCATACACACACACACACATAACTCACACGTAAAAAATGGAATATATGATTTAGAATGGAAACTGGACACAACATATTCCACAGCCATATGTACAAGAAATTCAAGATTTAGAACTCTGTCCATGAGGACATTAATTTTAGAGTACTGAAGCACAGGAGACATCTAGTCACCAATTAAAACATGTATATTAGAGAAATGGTCCTTTAATTAGGACCACAGCCTAAAGGGTAGACAATCATATAAGTTGTTAAATCCCTTTAAAGACAAAGTCAGATAACAGATGAACTTAAAATACCATACTATCATAAACTGCTTAAGAGACTACAATTTGGATGGTCATGTTTTATTATACAGAAAGAGACCTGTAATGTATGCATGAAGTACAATAGTACAAAGCACTATTTGCTGGACTGTATGAATTATGAAAACCAAAGGAAACAACTGACTATTTTTAATCTTTATAAATTACCTATGATGATGGAAAATTGCCGCACATAAACAGCCCCAGTGAGCCACGTGGCAAGGTCAAGCAATTTATTACTAGGACTAAAACCCGTATATAGAAGGGTAAAGAATGGCATCTTTGAAGAAGTTTCCCTTAAAGATAAAACTGAGGAGAATAATCAATGAATGCACACTAAAGAAACAATATATCCACCTTGCTAATGACATAATGTTAGCAGTATTGTCTGATTATTCATAGCCAATGTCTAATTATTCACAGCGCAATTTCTATTTTAATCACAACCCAAATCAAAGCAAAATGTGAAACTATACAAACTGTATTTTAGACATATAAAGAATTTCATGATACATACATTTAATTTAACAAATATATACTTTGAGAACTCAATTAATAATATATATCCCAGTTATAACCATGAGGGTTGAACAGGATATTCTTGAAAAATTACTACTACTACTACTGCTGCTGCTGCTGCTGCTGCTGCTGCTACTACTACTACTACTACTGCTACTACTACTTGTGACAAATTCAAATCTGAAGACATATATTCTTAGTCAAACAGCAAGATTCTGAAGATAGCATTTAAAGATGCTGTAGATAACAAAACAGACAAATAAATATTTTTGCAGCATTAAAGGATATAACCCTGTTATAACAACCATAACGTAGGAGAACCATGTTGAAGAAGGGAGATCAATATGCAGACCAGCATGGGATTTAAAGTTAGAAAATAACTGGAAAAATGGATGAAAAGTCTGAGAGAGTGTACTACCAACGGTGTTGGAGAGTCATTACAGTTAGCCTTCACTGCGGAGACGGTACCTGACTGACTGAAAAATATACCAGGTAAACCCACGCTTGTAATTACTTTCAACAGTAATGTCTTACAGGAAACTCTTACCAATGGCCAATAAAGCTTTCTCAGCATCACCACAGCTGGATTTCTTGATAGAGTCTGTAATGTCTTTACGATACATCTGAAATTTAACCAGTTTTCAGATGAAGTAGTGCTATAATCAATTTTGTTTTTTTCATACAAAGTACTTTCTTCTTGACTTATGACACATGCAACTTAACAAACATCCACACTTGCAACAACAACAAAAGAGGTCAATAAATAAAGATAACTAAACTGGTAATGTCAAAAAAAGTTCCCAGAACTGATGCAATAGAGTATATATAATGTATATTTTCACATTATGTACAATAATTATCATCATCATCAGGTGCCTTGCCGACTGGCGTGGGTGATCATGCCTCTCCACAATATGCAGTCTCCTGCAGCATGTAACAATAATTATATATACATAGATTAAATTTTGAAAAATATAAATCTGACTTAGGACCTGTTAGTTGGAATGGAACTCGATCGTAAGTTGAGATGACCCTGTGTTAACTCTGTGATGTTCACAACACAAACTTCATATTAAGATACTAATCTGAGGTAATCGTAGTGTATTGCTTATTCACTCACATACTGGTTTAGGGTTTGACTGCCCATAGCTGTGATTTTTCAGACTGGTACTGCCTGATCAGGAGCTGAGGAAACAGAATGGCTATCACACTTGCTTGGTGGTAATGTGTTCAAATCCTCATCAAGATGAGGAAATATTATAATTTACCTCCTCTTTCAGGTTAGAGGAGCCACTGGCCAAGTGGTTAGAATGCTTAACTCTTATTTATGAGACCATGGATTGAATCCTCAGTTTTCTGTCTGGGATCTGGGCCCCACTTGGGAGGTGTGGGGGTGGGATAGACCCACCCACTTCTTCCCTATCAAGCATGTCATAAAAAGTGACTACTTAGGTATTTTTCCCTTTGAGGTTACGGCACAACTGCCTGAGAGTTGAGGAACCAACAATTTTCATACAAACAGGCAGATCTGTAAAATGTTGTGTACACCTAATTCAAATTCTGGAACAAGACAAACAACCACAACTTCCTGCCAGAGTTTACAGCCAGTAAACGCTAAGAAGAATAAGAAAAACAATCTCCAGTAAGGCGAAATACTTTTTTTTTAGAGTCTTGGGAAAAAGTCTTTACGGGGGGGGGAGGTGTAGGAGGTGGGGGGGGGGGGTTGTAGGAGGTGGGTCGGGGAAGGTTAAGGTACACAAATAAAATTGTTAGCCTGCACAGATCCTGGTGATTGTACTAGCCACGCAGCTATAAATATACTATAGTGCCTGTTTAGCGATTCTCTGTCAGCTTCTTTTCAGAAGAGGACCACAAAATTAGCATATAAAATTGTTGATACCAGCAGCTGTGCAGAAATTTCTTTGATTTTTTTTCACCTTCTTTGAATCCAATGCATTTAACGTTCATCGATTTCATCAGGCATTTGTTTACACTTTTATTTCATGTTACCCATCTATGGTTATTTTTTTTTTATTGACTGAAGGTGAACAAAGTGACAGGGAAAACAAAACAGGACACATGGAAAAACACTGCTTTATTTACCTTTTTATGTGCAGCTGCAACAGCTTTCACATGTGCTTTGCTTTCTCTGGTGAAGAGTATCTTCAGACTGTGCATAGACGGTTTCTGTGTGATGGTTCAAGATTATACAGTAATAAAGGCAGAGTAAGAGTTATTTGTTTAATCATGTTTTATTATATCACAAAAAATGTGTAATGTCCAAATAGGGATGGTCGGATCAAAGGCTACAGTCTACAACTGCTAGGGCAGACCTGGTTAATCCCACAGTCTTCAGAATTTTAACTCTTTAACTTTTTTGGTACCAGAGGACATTTAAATTAATAATGAATCAACACATGATGCATTCCTCAGTACTGAATGATTTGATTCTGGTTTAGTGGATCAGATGTCTGGTCTTCTCTGAAAAGGGATTGGCTTGGAAGACCCATGTGTAAGTTTCACTCATACAGGCTGAGGGGGAGGGAACATTCCTGAGCAGTTTGAAAATACGTTTATACAGAAAAAAAAAAGGCAGAATAGATCACTGTTCAGGTGATAATTTAGTGATGGGGGAGGCTACTCCATCCCCCCAACACATACACTATTTTGTATCTAGTATACAAACACTTTCTTCTTTCTTTTCTCTGTTCACTAGCTGTGAACTCTGTTGAAAACTCCTGATTGATTGTCTGTATAAGGACTTTGTTCTTGTGTCAGTACTTGAGTGTTGTATGTACACAGATTTTTCAGATCTGGCTTACTGTGTGCAGACTGGTAGTTTCTCATCTCTCAGGCAGATGTACCAAATTTTAGGAAACTCTATCCTCTCTTTATCTGCCAGGCCATAATAGGAAATCAGTTTCTAGGATAACCCCTTGGAGGTGTATAAAGGTCTTGACCAGTGGTTCTCCACTACAGGTGGTGACTGACTGATGTTTTAACCCCACCAGGACATCACTCGAGCGATAAACACCCGGTGAAACATGGTGCCACCATTCGGTTGATGATCACCCAGGAACAGGTCCCAGAAACCCTGCTCAATCTGTAGGGTTATTATAAATGGAGCCCTTAAGCACAGCCAGGGTGGGGATTCAAAATTTAAAAAATTCAATTAAAAAAAGCATATCTGTAGCCAGTATACACATTTAAATCTCAACTTGTGCTACAAACATTGCGCATTATGCCCCGATTTTTCTTACTATATAAAGAAGGAGACATGGTGTAAAGAAGGAGAATGGGGGTACAGAAGCAGACATGATGTAAAGAAGGAGAATGGGGGTACAGAAGGAGACATGGTGTCAAGAAGGAGAATGGGAATACAGAAAGAGACATGGTGTCAAGAAGGAGAATGGGGGTACAGAAGCAGACATGGTGTAAAGAAGGAGAATGGGGGTACAGAAGCAGACATGGTGTAAAGAAGGAGAATGGGGGTACAGAAGCAGACATGGTGTAAAGAAGGAGAATGGGGGTACAGAAGCAGACATGGTGTCAAGAAGGAGAATGGGGGTACAGAAGCAGACATGGTGTCAAGAAGGAGAATGGGGGTACAGAAGGAGACATGGTGTCAAGAAGGAGAATGAGTACAGAGGCAGACATGGTGTCAAGAAGGAGAATGAGTACAGAAGCAGACATGGTGTAAAGAAGGAGAATGGGTACAGAAGCAGACATGGTGTAAAGAAGGAGAATGGGGGTACAGAAGCAGACATGGTGTAAAGAAGGAGAATGGGGGTACAGAAGCAGACATGGTGTAAAGAAGGAGAATGGGGGTACAGAAGGAGACATGGTGTCAAGAAGGAGAATGGGGGTACAGAAGCAGACATGGTGTAAAGAAGGAGAATGGGGGTACAGAAGCAGACATGGTGTCAAGAAGGAGAATGAGTACAGAAGCAGACATGGTGTAAAGAAGGAGAATGAGTACAGAAGCAGACATGGTGTAAAGAAGGAGAATGAGTACAGAAGGAGACATGGTGTCAAGAAGGAGAATGAGTACAGAAGCAGACATGGTGTAAAGAAGGAGAATGAGTACAGAAGCAGACATGGTGTCAAGAAGGAGAATGAGTACAGAAGCAGACATGGAAAAAAGAAGGAGAATGGGGGTACAGAAGCAGACATGGTGTCAAGAAGGAGAATGAGTACAGAAGCAGACATGGTGTCAAGAAGGAGAATGAGTACAGAAGCAGACATGGTGTCAAGAAGGAGAATGAGTACAGAAGCAGACATGGTGTCAAGAAGGAGAATGAGTACAGAAGCAGACATGGTGTCAAGAAGGAGAATGAGTACAGAAGCAGACATGGTGTCAAGAAGGAGAATGAGTACAGAAGCAGACATGGTGTCAAGAAGGAGAATGAGTACAGAAGCAGACATGGTGTCAAGAAGGAGAATGAGTACAGAAGCAGACATGGTTTCAAGAAGGAGAATGGGGGTACAGAAGCAGACATGGTGTCAAGAAGGAGAATGAGGGTACAGAAGGAGACTGGGTCACTCATGGAGATAACATTTGCGCAATGAAACTGATCTTTCACAAACCAGATGTGTACGCACATTTAAAAACAATTGAGAAAAAGTCCAGAAAAGACAGAATTTAGCAAAAAATGTAACAATAGGAACCCCGGTTGTTTCCACAAATACTGCTTTGTTAAAAGTATGTAAATTGCAACTTTAGAAAATTTTCACATAGGATAATTCTGTACAAAAGAAAACATGTATTATTCTGTGTTTTTCAGTTGTCACATGGTGTTAATAATATGATAAAACTAACCTGATGCACTTCCTTAGCATCCTGTTCCACTTCAGTCTGGTTTATTTTGCCATCTTTGTCTCTTCTCTTGCTGAGAAGTTGTATGAGAATATCTCTCAAGTCTCCTGTTGTCTCTTCTTGACTTCAGACTCAAGATCTGTTTTGTACACTAAAAACAAAAACTCCCATAAAATCTCATAAAGCCGATTTTATACACATAGGAAATTCATCAATATGTTTCACAACATGCAGCCTCTGCTCTGAATGGGGAGATGATAATATTCAGAAGCTGAAATGGATATACACACTTAGGCATGCATGCTGGAGTAGAAGGTAATGAAGAAGTGGGCAAGCTAGAAGCCATGAACTAACACAGTGGGGGGGGGGGGGGGGGGGGGGGGGAATGGACTTACTACAAGGGAGGCTTCAAAGCAAAAACTGGACTTTCAAATTCAAGGGGGGCCACTATTGTTGTCTTTTTTGTCTTCTTGTTCTTCTCCGCCTTCACCAGCTGTAAACTCAGAAAGGTATGGTTGTTCGTCCACTTCTAGACTTAAGTCCTGTTCCAGAACTCAAGTTCTACATGCACATACATTTTACAGATCTGGCTTATTGGTAAGCAGACTGTTGGTTCCTCACTTCTCAGGCAGATGCACCCCAACTTCGAAGGAAACACTCCTTATTAGCTTACTCTTACAACATACTTTTTTCGGGGGTGGAGGGGAGTGGGGGGTGGTCAATGGATCTATTCTTTGTTTTCCGAAATGGAGTCCCAGAACCCATATGGGCGAATGTTTTAAGGATCTCAAGAGTGTTAAGCACATGACATCACAGTGCAGATAAACTGATCCATAGAATTTGGTTTCAACTAAACTGCTAACAAGCCAGACCTGAGATTTTTTTACTGCTTGAAGAGAGTGCATCTGTAGCACATATTCAGTATTTTGTTATACCTGTCCCCATGGGCAATGTTCTGAGTCTGCAATCTTGAATTTCTGCCACCCATGGCAGTGGGATATGTTCTGTCCAGTTTATAATATAAATAAAAATGGCCTAATTTTTGTGTGTGAGAAAGCTGACTGGGTCTTCATGATTGTTTTATGGGTACATTTTCCAAGATACATTTATCTTGGTTTTATTTTCCTAGTAAGTGCATCCTGCATCTAAATGTTCTGTACTGTTTCCAAGCTTTCAACAGATACTACATTTAACAGGATATTTTAGGTTTTTAAAAAAAAATGTAACAAAAGAGGGTTATTAATGACTTTCTGAGTCAAAGGTTAAATTAATATTTAGAATACAGTAAAAAGATATTGGTATGGCACCATATACTTCTTCTTCTTCGCTGTACACTCTGGCGGAAAGTTCTAGTTGCTCGTCCACTACTGAACTGCAGTCCTGCTCCAGAACCTGAGTGTTGCATGTGCATCAGTTTTACAGATCTCATTCTCTTGAATACAGACTGTTGGTTCTTTGCCTCTCCGGCAGATGCACTCCAACTTCAAAGGAAGCCCCCCCCCCAATTAGTCGACTCTTACGACATGCTTTTGGGGAGGCAGTGGGTCTATTCTTGTTTTCCCCACAATGGGGCCCCGGAATCTACACGGGGGGAAGGGGGGGGGGCACCATATACTCTATACACCAATAATAATGTTAAAAGGGTCCTTTACTTTACTTAGAATATAGTGGGTTAAAGAATCAGCTGTGACAGAGGTCAGAAGCAGACATACACAAATAGTGACATGATAGTGTACATACATTTCTTGTACTCATTTTTGATGTCATCCAAGTCTGCTGCAGATTTTGAGCAAATCAGAGAAATGAGAGTTGTCTCATCAGTCCCAGTACCTTTCATGGCTTTATTCAAGCAGAAGGCATCATATTCCAATGGTGGCATCAATAGAGCCAACATGAGGTCCTGGTAAATACCACTAAGCTCAGCATCAAGATCTTTCACTAAATCCTGAAGACAGTAATGAAAAAAAATAAATAAATTATGTGTGGTTACTACAAAGAATGTTGGCTAAAGTGTACCCATTGATGTATTTAGGAATATTATGTCATGATCTTCAATTCTTGTGTGATTCCAGTACTAACCTATGGATGCGAGAGCTGGAAATCAACGAAAACTCTAGACACAAAATTAGACAGTTTTGAAAATAAATGCCTTAGAAGAATACTAAATTTCAAATGGTCAGATTTCCGAACCAATACACAAATAAGGCAAGAATCCAGGCAAGAGTATGTGTCTAATTTTATACGAAAACGCCGCTGGAACTATGTCGGCCACGCCCTTAGAATGGATAAATCAAGACTTCCTTACCAAGCCCTCATTTGGACACCACAGGGGAAAAGATCTCGTGGAAGACCAAGGGAAACCCTACGAAGAACTATCATCAGGGAAGGCTCGCTCATGGGCCACTCAAACATCCAAGACCTACAACGGATTGCAACGGACTGCCGTGCATGGAGAGTCGCGACCTCTGCCCTATGTGCCGCACTCGACACAAGAGGAAAGACTAAAATAATAAAAATGTCATGAGGTCCCTGTCTTGTTCATGATATAACCAACTCTCACACAGTTGTCCAGAAACCATGAGAACATTTTTTTCTTTAACTAAACCATGAGCATGGAAAGTTTACCTCATACTTGTTCATCATCTGATTCTATATAAGTAAGTGTATGTGTACATGATGCAGAGATCATTAGCGACTGGGTCGCCCATTGGCTGGACGGTAGCTGACTTTGCCGCCCGTCAGGACAGTAATTGGGTCTGTCTCCTTTAACTGCCTCAACACTGCAAGAATTCTTTTTACAGCTATTTAATAGTGAGCAATGCTAAGCCATTTTATATGGTGCAAATAACCTAGTCACAATTATAAGCAAAAGCTCCCCCTTTAGGGATGCTGCATGAACGTGCCGATTTTTTTTTAGCAAAAAAAGGCTAGGACATAATGCAGAATGAAAATTATTTGATACTCTAAGCTACAATAAGTTAGACCAGGCACCTTTGGCTAGGAACAGTTTTTTTTTTTAAATTCTAGCTCACTGGATTCAGGCAATTAGGCAGCAGACCACTTTGCATTGATATGGACAACAAAATGGGTGTCGATTGTAAAACAGCAATAGATAAACTACTGAACATAAAATTGTCTAATAAAACAGCTTTGTCTAGTAAAACAGCTTTGTCTAGAAAAACAACAGCCAACAAATAGGTTGGTTTGTAATGTCCTGTAAATGATATGCAACTAAGTTTTTAAGCTCTAAGTTAATATCTGGTTCTCTGTCAGGAGAATTGTTATAATGTATACAGTTTTACAGATTTTCTGACCGAACAGCCAACATTTTAAATTGTACATTTTTTTAATTTTAAAGAATTATACATACACTTATTAAAAAAATATATGTCAGTGGGGTTTAGAAACTGAATTCTTGTGCGTGTACAAAGAAACATTTTAACATATGATTTTGAATCCTGGACAATTAATAAATAAGAAACAATTCAAAACTCTTAAGACCATGCAAATATGCTTTGAACATTCTTCTTCTTCTTAGAGTTCAACAACTGTAAACTCTAACATAAATATTCTGGTTGTTCATCCACTTCTGGACTTGGGTCTTGTTCCAGATACTAAGTTTTGCATGCACATCCATTTTAAAGATCTGGCTTATTTGCATGCAGACTGCTGGTCCCTTGCTTCGCAGGTAGAGGCACTTCAACTTTGAAGAAGACAAACCTAATTATTTTCCCTTTATGGCATGTTTGTTGAGGGAGGGCAGTGGGTTTGGAGGCCCCTACAAAGGGGCCCCAGAACCAAGACTGGGAGTTTCAACAGTCAAAATTAGAAGAAGATAAAAACTGGAACATGTGACAATGGGAAGCATGTATGGAAAGAGAGATAAAGAAACACAATGGAAGAAGATTTTTGTCAGCCTTTCATCTTGGCATGGATCGGTATCTTCACACTAAAAAATACATGCTACTGGAGTTTATATGATATAGAGAAGCATGGTAATTGGCACGACACTTAATGATAACAGTCATGATCAAAACAATACAAGATGTTACAGGTTACATGATGCAGACAAGCATGGTAATTGGCAAGACACTTAATGATAACAGTCATGATCAAAACAATTCAAGATGTTACAGGTTACATGTTGTAGACAAGCATGGTAATTGGCAAGACACATGATAACAGTCATGATCAAGACAACACAAGACTTTAGAGACTATACAATTTGGAGAAGCATGGTAATTGGCAAGACACTTAATGATAACAGTCATGATCAAAACAATTCAAGATGTTACAGGTTACATGATGTAGACAAGCATGGTAATTGGCAAGACACATGATAATAGTCATGATCAAGACAACACAAGACTTTAGAGACTATACAATTTGGAGAAGCATGGTAATTGGCAAGACACATGATAACAGTCATGATCAAGACAACACAAGACTTTAGAGATTATATGATTTGGAGAAGCATGGTAACTGGCAAGACTTTTCATGATAATAATCATGATCATGACAAAACATACACACACACTTCAAATGTCAACAACAGAATATTTCCACAGACTGACCTTATTGTATATTTCCTGGTATCTCTTCTTAACTTTTTGTCTTTCTGGGTTGGAATTTCTGGTAATAACTTCAGTGATAACATCCTCCTTTGCTCCAGCTCCTGCCATTGCCTTGTGTAGCTTAACTGCATCTTCATCGTACTCATTGATTTCATCATCTGTTGTGAGACTTGGATCTTCTTCATCAGTGGGTTTCTCTTCACCTACTTTATCGATGATTGTCAGCAGTGTTTTCTCGTAGTCTCCAGTTGTTTCTGTTTTTACATCTTCTCTCAGAGGACTGCCATACAACTGTCGATATTTGCCCTTGATAGCAGGAAGGTCTTTCTGAGAAGCATTACATGCAGTATTATTACTGACAGATTTGTTAGTAGTAATAAACATAATAATAATAGTAGTCGTAGTACTCACTGTAGTCGTCATAGTCGTAGTCACTGTAGTCGTCGTCATAGCAGTAGTAGTAGTAGTAGTTGTAGTTGTAGTAGTTGTAGTAGTAGTAGTAGTAGTAGTAGTAGTAGTAGTAGTAGTAGTAGTAGTAGTAGTAGTAGTAGTAGTAGTAGTAGTAGTAGTAGTAGTAGTAGTAGTAGTAGTAGTAGTAGTAGTAGTAGAAACAGCAGGAGGAGTAGTAGTAGGAGGAGGAGTAGCAGTAGCAGCAGCAGTAGGAGTAGTAGCAGCAGCAGTAAGAGTAGTAGCAGTAGCAGCAGCAATAGTTGTAGTTTTCACATAAATAATATCTTGTTTCATCTTCAGCGATATAACTGAGAGACATATAGTGTCTACTAATTTTCAGTGTATACTTTTGCTATTTTATATAATAGATGGTAACAAATAATGCCTCATATTTGTTAAATCTGTGTAAATACTGTATTTGTGTGCAATCAGTAAATTTAACAGGGTTTCTCAAACACTCTTCTGCACTGTATAGCATTAACAACCCGTTTCAGTAACAGGTGGCAACACTGTAATGGTTTCAAAATGGCTTCCAAAGGTGTTCTGTTAAAATAATGTAATGTCACAGAATTCCTCATTGCTAAAGGCGAGATCCCAAGTCACATCCACAAACGTTTGAAGAATGTTTATCAAGATCCAGCAGTGGATGTTAGCGCTGTCCGAGGCTGGGTACATCGTTATGACGAAGCTGAAGTAGGTCAATCCTCAGTGGCTGGCTCAAAGTGAACCTTTTATCTACTGCATACTCCATGCAACATTCATTGAGTTGATGACATCATTATTGCTGACCATCAGGTAACACTGGATGACCTGACTGTGATTAGGATGGTACTGTACAATGAGTATTTTGATATTTGTTGCCTGTTTTGTTAAAGCAGTTTATTACTATTATTGAACTAACCTTTACATTGCTGATAAACATCATTTTGGCTATTTTCGTCTGTAATGTTAGCTAATGTTTAGTAGAAGTAAGTATTATTTACAATTGGTCTTAATGGACTGAATTCAGACTGAATTCATGTTCAGCAAATTGTCCTTATAACAGTATTTAAAATACTAAAAGGAAAAAGAAGCAATATCAAGATAATTATGACATAATTTAGTAATTAATGTAATTAACTCATCACCAGCAAACTGTACATTCATTAGTTATTTCAAACATTGTAAACTTTTTTCCTATACACTTTATGATGTTAAAATTAATTTAATGAATAAAGAGCAACAGTTAATTTGACATTCACTAGGAAGACAACATCCAGTGACTGAAACAGGATTGGAATGGAACAAAATCAAAAGAAAACTGCTGATAGAGAAGTCTGCTGATCTCTCTGGAAAAGCTCGACACCCCAAAATAGACTGAGTAAGTTAACTTGACTCTGCTGGCATCTCCTAGTGTTTTACCCCAAAAAGAACAGGTGTAGAAAACAACAATTGTTAAGTTCTGCTTATGCTGGCCTGCCTTTCTGTTAAATTATGTGCAATGAAGTTGTTCTTCTTTATTTGAACTCCTGCATCTAATGTCACCCCTCATAAATTCCATTTATATTCATCAGTGTCTCCTATCGCTAGCTTATTGAATATGTGGTATTTCAGTCTATATTCTGAGTCTTAAAATTGGAGTAGTAGTAGGAGGACGAGGAGGAGTAGCAGTAGGAGGAGTAGCAGCAGTATGAGTAGCTTATTGAATATGTGGTATTTCAGCCAATGTCCTAACTGAGTCTGAAAATTGGAGTAGTAGTAGGAGGAGGAGGAGTAGTAGCAGTAGGAGGAGTAGCAGCAGTATGTGTAGCTTATTGAATATGACGTATTTCAGCCAATGTCCTAACTGAGTCTGAAAATTAGAGTAGTAGTAGGAGGAGGAGTAGTAGCAGTAGGAGTAGTAGCAGCAGTATGAGTAGTTTATTGAATATGAGGTATTTCAGCCAATGTCCTGAGTCTGAAAATTGGAGTAGTAGTAGGAGGAGGAGGAGTAGTAGTAAAAGGAGGAGGAGGAGTAGTAGCAGTAGGAGGAGTAGCAGCAGTATGTGTAGCTTATTGAATATATGTGGTATTTCAGCCAATGTCCTAACTGAGTCTGAAAATTGGAGTAGTAGTAGTAGTAGTAGTAGTAGTAGTAGTAGTAGTAGTAGTAGTAGTAGTAGTAGTAGTAGTAGTAGTAGTAGTAGTAGTAGTAGTAGTAGTAGTAGTAGTAGTAGTAGTAGTAGTAGTAGTAGTAGTAGTAGTAGTAGTAGTAGTAGTAGTAGTAGTAGTAGTAGAAACAGCAGGAGGAGTAGTAGTAGGAGGAGGAGTAGCAGTAGCAGCAGCAGTAGGAGTAGTAGCAGCAGCAGCAATAGTTGTAGTTTTCACATAAATAATATCTTGTTTCATCTTCAGCGATATAACTGAGAGACATATAGTGTCTACTAATTTTCAGTGTATACTTTTGCTATTTTATATAAGGGATGGTAACAAATAATGCCTCATATTTGTTAAATCTGTGTAAATACTGTATTTGTGTGCAATCAGTAAATTTAACAGGGTTTCTCAAACACTCTTCTGCACTGTATAGCATTAACAACCCGTTTCAGTAACAGGTGGCAACACTGTAATGGTTTCAAAATGGCTTCCAAAGGTGTTCTGTTAAAATAATGTAATGTCACAGAATTCCTCATTGCTAAAGGCGAGATCCCAAGTCACATCCACAAACGTTTGAAGAATGTTTATCAAGATCCAGCAGTGGATGTTAGCGCTGTCCGAGGCTGGGTACATCGTTATGACGAAGCTGAAGTAGGTCAATCCTCAGTGGCTGGCTCAAAGTGAACCTTTTATCTACTGCATACTCCATGCAAAACATTCATTGAGTTGATGACATCATTATTGCTGACCATCAGGTAACACTGGATGACCTGACTGTGATTAGGATGGTACTGTACAATGAGTATTTTGATATTTGTTGCCTGTTTTGTTAAAGCAGTTTATTACTATTATTGAACTAACCTTTACATTGCTGTTAAACATCATTTTGGCTATTTTCGTCTGTAATGTTAGCTAATGTTTAGTAGAAGTAAGTATTATTTACAATTGGTCTTAATGGACTGAATTCAGACTGAATTCATGTTCAGCAAATTGTCCTTATAACAGTATTTAAAATACTAAAAGGAAAAAGAAGCAATATCAAGATAATTATGACATAATTTAGTAATTAATGTAATTAACTCATCACCAGCAAACTGTACATTCATTAGTTATTTCAAAACATTGTAAACTTTTTTCCTATACACTTTATGATGTTAAAATTAATTTAATGAATAAAGAGCAACAGTTAATTTGACATTCACTAGGAAGACAACATCCAGTGACTGAAACAGGATTGGAATGGAACAAAATCAAAAGAAAACTGCTGATAGAGAAGTCTGCTGATCTCTCTGGAAAAAGCTCGACACCCCAAAAATAGACTGAGTAAGTTAACTTGACTCTGCTGGCATCTCCTAGTGTTTTACCCCAAAAAGAACAGGTGTAGAAAACAACAATTGTTAAGTTCTGCTTATGCTGGCCTGCCTTTCTGTTAAATTATGTGCAATGAAGTTGTTCTTCTTTATTTGAACTCCTGCATCTAATGTCACCCCTCATAAATTCCATTTATATTCATCAGTGTCTCCTATCGCTAGCTTATTGAATATGTGGTATTTCAGTCTATATTCTGAGTCTTAAAATTGGAGTAGTAGTAGGAGGACGAGGAGGAGTAGCAGTAGGAGGAGTAGCAGCAGTATGAGTAGCTTTATTGAATATGTGGTATTTCAGCCAATGTCCTAACTGAGTCTGAAAATTGGAGTAGTAGTAGGAGGAGGAGGAGTAGTAGCAGTAGGAGGAGTAGCAGCAGTATGTGTAGCTTATTGAATATGACGTATTTCAGCCAATGTCCTAACTGAGTCTGAAAATTAGAGTAGTAGTAGGAGGAGGAGTAGTAGCAGTAGGAGTAGTAGCAGCAGTATGAGTAGTTTATTGAATATGAGGTATTTCAGCCAATGTCCTGAGTCTGAAAATTGGAGTAGTAGTAGGAGGAGGAGGAGTAGTAGTAAAAGGAGGAGGAGGAGTAGTAGCAAGTAGTAGTAGTAGAAACAGTAGTAGTAGTAGTTGTAGTAGTAGTAGGTAGTAGTAGTAGTAGTAGTAGTAGTAGTAGTAGTAGTAGCAGTAGGTAGTAGTAGTAGCAGCAGCAGTAAGAGTAGTAGCAGTAGCAGCAGCAATAGTTGTAGTTTTCACATAAATAATATCTTGTTTCATCTTCAGCGATATAATTGAGAGACATATAGTGTCTACTAATTTTCAGTGTATACTTTTGCTATTTTATATAAGGGATGGTAACAAATAATGCCTCATATTTTTTAAATCTGTGTAAATACTGTATCAGTGTGCAATCAGTAAATTTAACAGGGTTTCTCAAACACTCTTCTGCACCGTATAGCATTAACAACCAGTAACACTGTAATGGTTTCAAAATGGCTTCCAAAGGTGTTCTGTTAAAATAATGTAATGTCACAGAATTCCTCATTGCTAAAGGCGAGATCCCAAGTCACATCCACAAACGTTTGAAGAATGTTTATCAAGATCCAGCAGTGGATGTTAGCGCTGTCCGATGCTGGGTACATCATTATGACGAAGCTGAAGTAGGTCAATCCTCAGTGGCTGGCTCAAAGTGAACCTTTCATCTACTGCATACTCCATGCAACATTCATAGAGTTGACGACATCATTCTTGTTGACCATCAGGTAACACTGGATGACCTGACTGTGATTAGGATGGTACTGTACAATGAGTATTTTGATATTTGTTGCCTGTTTTGTTAAAGCAGTTTATTACTTTTATTGAACTAACCTTTACATTGCTGATAAACATCATTTTGGCTATTTTCGTCTGTAATGTTAGCTAATGTTTAGTAGAAGTAAGTATTATTTACAATTGGTCTTAATGGACTGAATTCAGACTGAATTCATGTTCAGCAAATTGTCCTTATAACAGTATTTAAAATACTAAAAAGAAAAAGAAGCAATATCAAGATAATTATGTCATAATTTAGTAATTAAAGTAAATAACTCATCACCAGCAAACTGTACATTCATTAGTTATTTCAAACATTGTAAACTTTTCCCCTATACACTTTAGGATGTTAAAATTAATTTAATGAATAAAGAGCAACAGTTAATTTGACATTCACTAGGAAGACAACATCCAGTGACTGAAACAGGATTGGAATGGAACAAAATCAAAAGAAAATTGCTGATAGAGAAGTCTGCTGATCTCTCTGGAAAAGCTTGACACCCCAAAATAGACCGAGTAAGTTAACTTGACTCTGCTGGCATCTCCTAGTGTTTTACCCCAAAAAGAACAGGTGTAGAAAACAACAATTGTTACAGTTCTGCTTATGCTGGCCTGCCTTTCTGTTAAACTCTGTGCAATGAAGTTGTTCCTCTTTATTTGAACTCCTGCATCTAATGTTTAGTCACCCCTCATAAATTCCAGTTATATTCATCAGTGTCTCCTATCGCTAGCTTATTGAATATGTGGTATTTCAGTCTATATTCTGAGTCTTAAAATTGGAGTAGTAGTAGGAGGACGAGGAGGAGTAGCAGTAGGAGGAGTAGCAGCAGTATGTGTAGCTTATTGAATATGAGGTATTTCAGCCAATGTCCTAACTGCGTCTGAAAATTGGAGTAGTAGTAGGAGGAGGAGTAGTAGCAGTCGGAGGAGTAGTAGCAGTCGGAGTAGTAGCAGCAGTATGAGTAGTTTATTGAATATGAGGTATTTCAGCCAATGTCCTAACTGAGTCTGAAAATTGGAGTAGTAGTAGTAGGAGGAGGAGGAGGAGGAGGAGGAGGAGTAGTAGTAGGAGGAGGAGGAGTAGTAGCAGTAGGAAGAGTAGCAGCAGTATGAGTAGCTTATTGAATATGAGGTATTTCAGCCAATGTCCTAACTGAGTCTGAAAATTGCTCATTATTTTCTTCGGTAAAGTTGACAATATGCATCCTTTTTCTAATTATCTAGCTGCTCTGATTCTCAACTGATTCATTCAGATCTTCTTTCAACATTAGGAGATGGATGTGACTGTTACAATGGAAAAAAAATCAATGTGAAAGTTATAGAGATCCACTGTAGTCAAAACTGAAAATAGTACTTGATAGGTTAAAAAATGACAAGTGTAATTTAACCCTTTCACCTCGTGAATGCTCAAACAATGGGTCATGAACTCGTGGAAATTTCCCCAAAAAATCCATTAAAAACCAAACAAACCAAACTCTTTTACACAGGTTACTAATACCTGTAAACAAATGTCCTCCTCTACATTTTAAAACTTTTGTTCAGAAATGTATAAAAATATACAAATATACAAAAGGAGTAATCAATAAACAAGAAAAATGTGAAGCATTAAATGGAAGGCATTCCCCTGGGGACTGGAACAAATGTGTATGGGTGACTTATGCCATGATTTTGTTGTGATCTCTATTACTAAAGCTTACAGAAAAAAATTAAGTCAACCAAGCTTTAAAAAAAGGCAATCGGATTTATAAGAAAATAATTCTTAATGCTATATTTACTTAATATATTTAGATCTGGACCTCCCAAACACTGTGCAGGTACATACAGAACCAATGGCATTTAACTACACAGGCCACTGCAGAAATTGCGATATAAATGGCATTTATGGCACTGTGTCACAACAGGAAGTGACAAGATTTAGCCTCCTTTGGTTGAAAAGGTTAAGTGCTTCTCAATAAACATGAAAAAAAAATATATATATATATAATTTACAAACTGTTGCTGACATTTCATATAATCATAACCAATGACTGACTGATTGACTTTCTATCCCACCAGGACATCACACAAGCGATAAACACCCGATGACACAATGTGCCACCATGCAGATGAGGATCACTGTGGAGAGGTCACAGAAACCATGTTCAGCCATTAGACCTTATTTATGGCCAGGCTATATTGCAGCCCCTGGCAAAAGCGAGGGTGGGGCTTCAAAATAACGAAAAATTGCATCTCACAAGGAGATGGGTTACTTATTAAATATTTTATGTCTGTATATTACCAATGAAATGCTAGAACGTAATTTGTATCATTTCAGTAAAAAACATGATTGTGCCTTGGTGTATGAATTTGATACTGACCTCTGACCTAGAAACAAGTGCCCAAATCAGTTGTCTGTTATTAACTCCTGCTCTTTTCAGAGAACTTCTAAGTCTGTCAGCAAAATATTTAGTTTTGTTCTGCTGTCTGAGGGCTGTAGTTACATGGAATAGAGAACACACAATTAGCCATTAAAGTGAATGAGTTGTTTCCCCTTGCACTCTAAGGTCATGAGTGTGTGACTGTTCGTGCTTCAGAGATGCTTGTTTGGGCGGTGAAGCTTTGCTCTTTGTGTGACGTTCTTGGTGTTGAGTGATGAATGACGAGCTCAGTGGGTAGGCCCAGGTGGGCTATGACATTGATTCTTAAATCAGTAATTAGTTGTAAAAGTTACTAGTACCATGAGCTTCCTGATAACTATATAATAAAATAATGATTTAAACAAAATTGTTAACGTTTTTTCCAGATCCTTATCTGGAGCACAAATTAGTTATCAAAACTCTCCAATCCCTTTTCGATCATCTAATATTTTAGTGAAGTAGATATTGCTTATATTATCTTTTTTTTTTTAAAAATGTTTTAGTGAAGTAGATATTGCTTATATTATCTTTTTTAAAAATGTTTTAGTGAAGTAGATATTGCTTATATTATCTTTTTTAAAAATGTTTAAGTGAAGTAGATATTGCTTATATTATCTTTTTTTAAAAATGTTTTAGTGAAGTAGATATTGCTTATATTATCTTTTTTAAAAATGTTTTAGTGAAGTAGATATTGCTTATATTATCTTTTTTAAAAATGTTTTAGTGAAGTAGATATTGCTTATATTATCTTTTTTTTTTTGTTTTAGTGAAGTAGATATTGCTTATTATCTTTTTTAAAAATGTTTAAGTGAAGTAGATATTGCTTATATTATTTTTTTAAAAATGTTTTAGTGAAGTAGATATTGCTTATATTATCTTTTTTAAAAATGTTTTAGTGAAGTAGATATTGCTTATATTATCTTTTTTAAAAATGTTTTAGTGAAGTAGATATTGCTTATATTATCTTTTTTAAAAATGTTTTAGTGTGAAGTAGATATTGCTTATATTATCTTTTTTAAAAATGTTTTAGTGAAGTAGATATTGCTTATATTATCTTTTTTTAAAAATGTTTTAGTGAAGTAGATATTGCTTATATTATCTTTTTTAAAAATGTTTTAGTGAAGTAGATATTGCTTATATTATCTTTTTTAAAAATGTTTTAGTGAAGTAGATATTGCTTATATTATCTTTTTTAAAAATGTTTTAGTGAAGTAGATATTGCTTATATTATCTTTTTTAAAAATGTTTTAGTGAAGTAGATATTGCTTATATTATCTTTTTTAAAAATGTTTTAGTGAAGTAGATATTGCTATATTATCTTTTTGAAAAATGTTTTATGAAGTAGATCTTTATTATCTTTTTTAAAAATGTTTTAGTGAAGTAGATATTGCTTATATTATCTTTTTTTTAAAAATGTTTTAGTGAAGTAGATATTGCTTATATTATTTTTTTAAAAATGTTTTAGTGAAGTAGATATTGCTTATATTATCTTTTTTAAAAATGTTTTAGTGAAGTAGATATTGCTTATATTAGACTCTAGTGGAGAAGTACTGGTTGTTCATCCACTTCTGGACTTTGGTCTTGTCCCAGAACCTGAGTTTTGCGTGCAGATCCTATTTACAAATCTGACTATTGGTATGCAGATTGTTGGTTCACGCCTCTCAGGCAGATGCACTCCGACTGAAGGATACAGACCTGATTAGTGGACTTTTATGATATGATTGGTATTGGAGCAATGCGTGTATTTTTTTCTTTAAAAATAAGGTGCCGGAACCCACTCACGAAACAATCTTTTCAATAACTTTATGTCCACTGTCTCTGGTTTCTTTACTATTTCATTATCCATGACTGACTGACTTTCTACCCCGACAGGACATCACACAAGCGATAAACACCTGATGACACAAAATGCTACCATGTGGATGAGGATTACCGTGGAGAGGTCCCAGAAACCGCGTTCAGACAATTGGCCATTTTTATGGCCTGCCTATATTGCAGCCCCTGGCAAAAGCCACAGTGGGGCTTCAAATAACAAAAAATTTCGTCCTAAAAAGAACGTAAGGTTATTTTCATTATCCATCACTTTCATCCACACAGAAAAACACGCACACATATAACCTTTTAGTACACACATTTTTTTTAATGCTGGTGTTATTTCTCTTATCCATGAAAATGAGTCCTTGGCTAGTCTTTTCTTTGTCTGTGTCATGTCTTCCACTTGACGTCATTGTGTACTTGAGATTTTTAAAAATATGGGCCTATTTGATTTTGACACTTCAACTAAGTATGGATCTATTGGACTTTGGCCTTCCTGGGAAACTACAAACTATGTTAGTGTACAGATTTTTATGTATATCAAATTAGATACAATGAATGAACGATTCTAGAATTGACATCTCTGCACTTGAGACATTCCCACGCATTCTCTGTCCTTTTCCTCAGTAGACAAGAAAGATTTACCATACTGATGGTGCTTGTTGCAGTTTCATTACAAGTTCACCTGTCTTTCCCCTGAACATCTTCCCGATTCTCTTTTCACTGTCCAATTACTCCCATTCAACTTTCACTACATCTGCTAGATCATAAAGTTTCTTGCCCCCCAAAGGAGTTCTGCAGCTAATCTATCACCCTTCTCATTACTCTGCACACCCAAATATCCTGTGCAGTTAGGTGAATATTTAATCTTAAATTTTTAGTACCAATTAAATACCATTTAATACTGCGATAAAACACATGATGCAAATTTAATATATGATTACAGTTCTGCAGATGTTTTTGCAGTGATTGCAAGAATGGGTAGAACTATTAAGTACTCATACCACAAGCAAGGTAAGCCTCTTCTGCATCTCCACAGCTGGCTCTTTTAATAGATACGGATATATCTTTGTGGAAGATCTGAAAAAATAAAAATAAACAACTGTCTTGAAAATTATGCAATATTTGTGCATTTAACTGAAATTCTTTCAGTAAAAAGGAACTCCCCATATTTATTACTTTACATAGGTTACATGGTTCACAGTATCTTCTATCCAGTCTTTCTTCTTTCTTTTGTCCATTTTCTGCTGTGTAACGCTAGGTCACGCAGGTTATCAAACATCCCATTTCACAGGTGGTCAGTTTTCTTTCATGTCCTTTAATGTTCAAGTCCGATACTGACAGCATAACGTTTTTTTTATGAAGATTGAATTTATAATTTGTCTTTTTCTCTCTACTGTGATAGCCAAGTGTTTCAAAACTTGGGTCAGTTGATATGTGAAATTGGCTTGTCTGATTCTTATCTGATCTTTCTCTCATGTTGATCCACTATATTCTAGTTGTTACTTCAACTCCTTATGTCAAACAACCTAATTATTTTCACTCATTCATATTCAAAGCTGTTCTAAAGTGTACTAACTGTGGCAAATAAAGTGTTGAAAAAAATAACAACTGTTTAGTACCAAAAGAATTAAAAAAAAGATGTGGCAAAAATTAAAATTGTTAACAACTGGAATATAAACTTGATAAGAAATAATCGAATTTGTGATATGAAATAATTTGTTTAAAATGTGATTAGACGTTTCCAGCCCCCCTGTCCCTCACTATCTATCTGCTAGTCTCTTTTATCCTTATATCTTCCCAATCTGTGAACATGTCTAGCAAATCTTTGCAGAAAATACATAAAAGGACTGAAATGTGGTTTCTCGTGCTAATGCAGAAAATACATAAAAGGACTGAAATGTGGTTTCTCATGCTAATGCAGAAAATACATAAAAGGACTGAAATGTGGTTTCTCGTGCTAATGCAGAAAATACATAAAAGGACTGAAATGTGGTTTCTCATGCTAATGCAGAAAATACATAAAAGGACTGAAATGTGGTTTCTCGTGCTAATGCAGAAAATACATGAAAGGACTGAAAAGTGGTTTCTCATGCTAATGCAGAAAATACATAAAAGGACTGAAATGTGGTTTCTCATGCTAATGCAGAAAATACATAAAAGGACTGAAATGTGGTTTCTCATGCTAATGCAGAAAATACATAAATGGACTGAAATGTGGTTTCTCATGCTCATGCAGAAAATACATAAAAGGACTGAAATGTGGTTTCTCATGCTCATGCAGAAAATACATAAAAGGACTGAAATGTGGTTTCTCATGCTAATGCAGAAAATACATAAAAGGACTGAAATGTGGTTTCTCATGCTAATGCAGAAAATACATAAAAGGACTGAAATGTGGTTTCTCATGCTAATGCAGAAAATACATAAAAGGACTGAAATGTGGTTTCTCATGCTAATGCAGAAAATACATAAAAGGACTGAAATGTGGTTTCTCATGCTAATGCAGAAAATACATAAAAGGACTGAAATGTGGTTTCTCGTGCTAATGCAGAAAATACATAAAAGGACTGAAATGTGGTTTCTCGTGCTAATGCAGAAAATATCATGGACAAACAGGAAAACAAATGGGGCAGTTTTACAATTTAAGGTTAGCGGTGAGAAGATCAACATCATTACACTGGGGTTTTTCCTGTATGGCTCAGTCTCTCTCTGCAGAATAGTTAGCCCCCTGATGAGAGCATTAAAAAAAAAAGGCACAAATTCCGCAGCTGCAGTGATTATCTCAAATACGGCAGACCTCCCAAAACAATAATACATCTCTGAGACGCATGTGATGACACAGTATGCTTAATAACATGGTACATGATGATAATGGAATCACCCTCTGATGTTTCAGACTACATATGTGAAGATAAATGCTGTGACAATGTGTCTGTGATGATAATAATAATAATAATAATCAAAACAATGAACTTAAAGAATAAAAACATGGTGATAAGTACTGTGTGACTGTTAATAACAATAGTGGAAGTACAGATCAAGCAACTTATAGATACAATTAGACACTGGTCTCACCTTTTTATGAGCATCAGAAATGGCTTTTATCTGTGGTAAACTATTTTTCAGGAAGATTTCTTTCACTACAGATGGTTTTGGTTGCTGAAAGATGATACAAAAATACAGTAGCATAGTAGAATAAAAAAAATTAACGGATAATTTTTACACATCTTGAAGAAGATAGACAAAATTTCGAGAGTGGCTGTTGGAAATCTGAATAAGTGCACAGTACTGATGTAGTACAGAGTAGGTGGAAAACTATTACATTTGACATTCAATATAGATATGGTAGTTACAGATGGAGTCGTACACCTATTTGGGCAGTAGTGTAGATAAAGATGGAGCAACTGATAGAGATATTAAAATAAGAATTCAAAAATCAAGAGGAGCTTTCATAGCACTAGGGAATTTGTGGAGGTAAAAAGAAATTAAAAGAAATACTAAACGAAAATTTTTTAATTCTAATGTCAAATCAGTATTTTAGTATGGGGCAGAAACATGGAGAACAACTAAGGCAATTACTAATAAATTACAGACATTCATTAACTGGTGCCTGTGCAGAATAGAGGGAATTAAATGGTATGATAGAATAACTAATGTAGAGCTTTGGGAGAGAACTAAACAGGCTCCAGTGGACCACGAGGTGAGGAAAAGACGCTGGCGTTGGATAGGACACACACTGAGAAAACAGGAGAACAGCATAACTAGAATGTCTTTGCATTGGAACCCACAGGGGCATAGGAATAAAGGAAGGCCAAAAAACACATGGAGAAGAGAGCTGGAGAATGAAGTTAGAAAGATGGGGAGGACATGGGGAGAGCTCCATGCAATGGCGAAGGATAGAACAACTTGGCATGAGTTGGTTGAGGGCCTATGCTCCATTGGGGGATAGAAAGGCAGAAGAGGAAGAAGATGGTGATGAAGAAGATGATTTATACTGATTTATTACCTGTCTGTTTACTGTCTGTAGGAATGAAAAACTACAAAGTGGATCATCTATCATTTTTTTCAACTATGAATGTTTCTTTAACCATCTTTGCTCCCAGGTGAACTTAGCCTAAAATGAGCACCAAGTAATGTCCTGGGAAGTAAAAGTGGCTGGCAGTAATGTTGCCCATGTCACCTAACAAGTGCTGATTACTCTATAAAATAAGAGTCTAGCCTCTTATGCCTGATGCGCCACTGGTGTAAAAAAGAATGGTTCCTTTACTTACTAACTGTTGTTACTTTCTATATTTCTTTAACTCTAAAATGCCATGTTAAACATTGTGAAATATTAGCTTAGAGAATCCTGAGTATATGATACTAGTCCACCCCCGTGTGTTCCGGGGCCCCATTGTGGGAAAAACAAGAATAGACTCACTGCCTCCCCAAAAGCATGTCGTAAGAGTCGACTAACTGGGGAGCTTCCTCTGAAGTCAGAGTGCATCTGCCGGAGAGGCAAGGAACCAACAGTCTGTATTCAAGAAAATGAGATCTGTAAAACTGATGCACATGCAACACTCAGGTTCTGGAGCAGGACTGCAGTTCAGTATTGGACGAACAACCAGAACTTTCCGTCAGAGTGTACAGCTGGAGAACGCGAAGAAGAAGATACTAGTCCAATATTTTTAACAGCCCAATAAGAACCCACTGACTGATGTCATTATTATTTCACAGAATATTTTATGGCATCCATCTTAGGCTGGGTTTAACTGGAAGCCCAAGCCAGTTTAAAAGAAAATTCTGTTCTCAATGGAAATTCTTCTTCTTGTTAGCTTTCCCCAGGTGTAAACTCTGACAGAAAGTTCTGGCTTTTTGTCCACTTCTAGTATGTTATCATGTTCTAGAACTTAAATTTGTGTGCATATCCATTTTACAGATCTGGCTTATTAGTATGCAGACTGTTGGCTCTGAAGCAGATGCACTCTAACTTTGAAGGAAGTATCCCCAGTTAGTTGCCTTTTACGACATTATTTTAGGGGACAGTGGGTCTCTTCCCCTACTACCTGTATACCCAAAAAAGGGGCCCTAAAACCCATACTGGGAACATGACCACTGGGTCAGCAGGTAAACATGCTGAACAGTGCATTATTGCAGTCCACACGGTTAAATTAGATCAGCATTTAAAAATGAAATTAACAAACAAATATTGTACCCCATAAAGTGTAGTAGCATCTTTCTCAGCTTTGACTTGGTCCACTTTTGGGTCCTTGTCTTTATTTCCCGCCAAAAGCTGCACCAGCAAATCCCTCAAGTCTCCTTTTGTTTCCTTTCTGACATCAGATTCCAGATCTGACTTGTACTCTGATGGCAAAATGAACAGACATAAGAAGCAGAAATTACAAGCATTAAATAGTCATACACTGCACAGTAAAGTAATACGTACAACTAACAACGGCTCACTGTGTGGACGCCAGGAACTCATTTAGGGAAGGGGGAGGGAGGGTAAGAATAGACCTGGGGGTGGGGGTGGGGGGGGGGGGGGAGAATAGACCCCTTGACTGTCTAAGAAGCATGTCATAAAAAGATCTTAATTAGCAGTGTTTCCTTTGAAACTGGAGTGTATCTGCTGGAGAGGCAATAAACCGACAGTTTTCCTATAAATTAGCTAAATCTATGAAATGGATATGCATGTAAAACTGAAGTTCTGGAACAAGTCCAAAGTCCAGAAGTGGACGAACAACCAAAACTTTCCGCAAGAGTTTACAGCTAGCAAAGGCGAAGAAGAAGAAGAAAAAGTGTATCTGTTAGAATTTAAAATTTAACATGGAACTGAAGATAAAAACACAGAGAATGGATAATTAGAAGCAATAACAAAATTCATCTCTTTCAGCATTCCAAGTCCTTGAAGTTCACTGCATTCATCTCTCTGACTGGCTCTCTCTTTCTAGTTGAGGACACCAAGCAGATTTAAAAAAAAAAAAAGGAAAAAGTCACTGCACCAGGGCCTGATGGGATCAAGTATGGCCACATGAACGTACTGAGTGATGTAGACCTGAGAGAGATGATTAACTGATGGTCCATAAAGATGTATAGACAATCAGTGTTCTTCAAGAACATCCCCAGGGCTTGTAAGTGGTCACGTATCTTCTTCTTCTTCTACCTTTATCCAACAACTGAGCACACTCTCAACTAGGTGGAAGAAGATTAGGTTGTATTTCATGGACACACACACAAAACAACAATCAAATACAGATCTTGAAGAGACTGAGTGTGAAAAGAGATTGGCTGAAATAAATACCCAAAAAAAAGACAGGTAAAATATTTCAGCCATAATAAGTTACTAGACAGTTACTGGTGCCATCAGAATTTGAACTCTTCACTGGCTGCAGTAGATGGGGACAAAGAACTTTTTGGAGTGCCTCGAGTGCTATGATGTCGATTCTCAATTCAACATTCAGCCATAATAAGGAGCATAGGTCAATTTATAAACCTCAGCCTAAAATAAGGAGCCATAGGTCAATTTATAAACCTGTCTTGATACAAATTTGAACCCAAGACTTTCAGGCTGGCAAGTGAGATATAAAATGAGTTACAAAGAAAACTAAATAGAACTAGAAGATTTCAGGTATGACAATGAATACGTATCACATATCTGGCCTTGGAGGTATGGTTTTACAGAAAAATCCTTAGAATTCTTTGGACAGCCAAAAAGAGCAAGCCAGATATTTTTAAAGAGGTGAGGGCTTGAAGACAACTTATCATAAATCAGAATACACAGTCATCACTTGTTAGTCATGTTATGAGAAGAAGGAAACTGAAACATGTTGTTACTACTGGAAAGATCTGTGAAAAGAGAGACAGAGGAAGACACTGTGAAACAATTCTTGACAGCTTTTTGTCATGGCCTGTTGGGGTTTCAACACATGAACTGATGCATCCTGTTGAAGATAGCAGATTGCAGAGAGGCATGATTATATACACATAAACTAATTCATCCTGTTGAAGATAGCAGATTGTGGAGAGGCATGATTGTCTATGCCAGTCAGCAAGCTACTTGACGAATGCATCACAAACGTCTATAGTTAACAATATTAACACAAACATATTTTCCTTACCTTTTTTGTACTCCTGTTTAACTTCATCAAGGTCAGCCCCTGTTTTGGAGCATATTACTCCAATCAGTGTTGGCTCATCAGCCCCAAGACCTTTCATAGACTTATACAGTGTGTCCACATCCAACTCCACTGGAGGCATCAACAGAGCCAAAATGGTGTCTTTAAAATCTCCAGTTAGCTCTGACTTGATGCGCTCAACTAAATCCTGAAAATGGAGTAAAGAATACTAATTTAATAATTAAAAAAATATGACAGTCTTTAATGTTGTCATCTACCATCCATGTTGTAAAAGACAAACTAAAGAGGGTTGGTGGAGGCAGCGATGGATCACGGTATAAGCCAGTGTTTCCCAAACTCTTCTTAGTCGCAGCACTTTTTAATTAAAATTTTTCTGCAGCGCCCTAACCTAAGTAAAAGTATGACTAGTCATATGTAAGAGATTAAAAAAAAACTCATTTATCTTCAAATATTTTGCCGCGCCCCTGTGAAGAGGTTGTGGCTCCCCGGGGCGCTGTGGCGCACAGTTTGGGAATCACTGGTATAAGCCACTGTGTAGAGCTTAGCAATCTGCAGAATTCTCAAAATATTCCTATTTTGTTTCATTTTATTTTAATACATTTTAAATTTGGTTTTTTAAAAAGTAAAAATAAAAAAGTGAAAGACCCCTTTCCCCAAAAAATCTCTACTTCTTTCTAAATCAATACCTGTGTATTTTGTTTATGATTTATAAGCTAATTTATACTATATTTATTTACTCAAAACAAAACAATCACTGTACCAACCTGATTATAAATTTCAGTGAATCTTTTCTTGACTGTCTGCCTCTGACTGTTTGAGTTTCGTGTAACAACTTCAATGATGACATCCTCTTTTGTTCCAGGCCCTTTCATTGCTTTGTACAGTTTTACAGCATCTTCATCATTTTCATTAATTGGATCGTCATGATCTTTCTTCTTCTTGGGGCTGGGTTTCTCCTCACCAACTTTGTCGATAATCTTGATGAGAGTATCTCTATAGTCTCCACTTGTTTCTTTCTCCACGTCTGATTTCAACGAGTGGTCATAGAGTTGTTGGTAATCACCCTTGATTGCTGGGAGATCCAACTAATAAGAAACACGATAAATTATATGACCAGAAATACAAATAATTTAAGGACACATGGATGTGTTAGTCAAAATCTGTACCACAGAACATGCAAACTTTCAAAGATATTACCAAAATATGTGCAAAACTGTACTTGTCTATATAAATACTACAAACTGTTTTGGTGACAACCATTTGGCATTAAAATATTGACATAACTGCACATGACTACCATCACAGTACTATTCTGTGAAGCCCTTATGTAAGTAAAGGACCCTTTTCCACATCTTCAGTCATACTGGGTACCTAATATTTCACAGATCAATCAGTGGGGGATAACAACATCATGCTGGTTGTCTTTACTTCCCAGAAATTTACCTTTTACCTTTTACTTGGGAGCCAGGTTCATTTCTAAAAAAAAGTCAGGCTCTAACAGGATCTGAACCCACAACCGTTGGATCCGCAGGCAAGTGTTTAGCCACTACATCACAGCGGCTTCCGCAGCCTTTATATGTGCCTTAATTATAACGCTGAACATGAATTTTTTGTTTTGTTGGTGTGCCATCCAGGGTGTGATTTTTAAATTGCAAGGCTGGTTAAATCTTCTGCTAGCAGCTGAAAAGGGGTGGGGGTGGAGGGGGGAGGGGGGAGAGCCCGCTTGTACATAGTATATCCTCTTAGTTTTACCAACTCCAAACAACTTCTGAGTAAAAAGTAAAAAAAATAACTGAAGTCAAATTTGAAAGTGGGTGATTCTATATACTATGAAATTTTTAAATACACACATGAATTGACATATAAATTGCACACTCTAATTGTGAAAACACACACCTGCCTGTTATCTCTAGCTGATTACTGTCTTCAGATGCAAATCTATTGGGACAAGCAGACTCTGAATAAATAAATTCAACATTAGGTTACTCACCTCTGATCTGGATGCTAATATCCATATCAGCTGTGTGTCATTGGTGCCAGGTTTTTGCATAGAACTGTTCAGTCTTTCTGCAAAAAATTCTGGTTTGTCTTCTCTAGCTTTCCCTTTAAATGTGAGGGGGAAAAAAACGAATACTGTAAAACATTTTATAAAATCAATTTTGAATTAGGTTAACATAAAAAAAAAAAAACTTGCTGAACATTATTGTAACATATTTTCATCAGCGAAGGTGCACAGCAAAGACAGAAGGAACTAAATCTCAGAATGTTCAAAGAGAAAAAGACTACAATTTGTATTCTTCTTCTTATACCTTTTAACCCCAAAATGGAGCATAGGCTCTCGGCCAAGTCGTCCTATTCTTTGCTACTGCATATGACACACCACATGTCCTCACTGCTTTTTAACTGCAATCTCTAATTTCTTTCTTCACGTGTTTTCATTTGCTTTTATTTCTATGCCCCTGTAGGTTCAGATTATTTTCTTCACCTGATTCACTGGAATTTGTTCAGTTCTCTACCAACGGTAGTGTTTCTATCATACCAATTGGTTCTCTCTGTTCTGTGCAGGCTTCAGTTAATGAATATTTGTAGTTTATTGGGTCCAATTTACATTTCCCAGCCCAGGATGAGAGTGACTTCCCTTGCCATTCATGCTTCATTAGGTCGCAGGAACTATCCTCTGTTGTAGGAGTGTTGTTGCTTGGTTTGGCGTTTGCTCAGCGTATAATATGTTTGTCGTAGTTGTGCTGTTATGAATCTATTTCAGGCACTGCAGGCACCTGTGTACAAGTAAGAAGTACAGCAGGGGGAAGCTCCGCAGGCATGACGATTCTTGAGTATCGAACTGGGATGTTTTTGTATTTCTACGTTCGTTGGCATTGTTTTCCCCCCAAGAGAAAGAAAGCACTTACAAGGAGCGTAGGAATACAAAGATATCGCTGTCTCTATACTCCTAAACCATCGCGCACATAGCTGAGCATGAAAATAATAATGCAAGAGGGCAGAGAGAAGATAAGAAAAGAGGGAACGGTTAAACCATTGACAATAATGAAAACATAGGAAAACATGACACTCCCACAAAATAGGAGAGTTCCCGCAACCTGATGAGGCATGAATGGCAAGGGAAGTCACTCTCATCCTGGGCCAGGAAACGTAAAATGAACCAGTTATAAACAATTGTTTTAGTTGTTCTCCGAGTTTCTGCTCCAATAGCAGTATTGATTTGACAGTACAATTAAAAATTTTAAGTTCTGTACACAGTTTGTATTAGTAAAGTATAAAATACAACCAAAGGCTGTCGATAAGATATATAATAACTCCCACAATACCATCACTTATGGTAATAAAATGACAGACAAGGATTCAAAGACAGGCGGAATAAATAATAATAACAATAAAATGACATAAAAAGGACAGCATTTTTTAAATGGACTGCACACATACAGCACTTACACAAAGCTAGATATGCATCCTCGCAGTCTCCACTAGTTGCCTTTTTGATAGGCTCTGAGATGTTTTCATTATACATCTGCATAACAGGAATATACAAATTACTTTTAAATAAATAAATACACAGACATGAATAGATACAGCAGAATACTGCATGTCTTTATCTGATCTTTTCCCCGGAGGGTTAACTCTGTCAACAAATGCTTGCAGAAGTCGAATGTGTCATCCAAAAGGTGCAAATATTGCAGCCATGCTGTAAATGGGAACTATTACATCTTCGAATGAACACTGATGAAGAAGATCGAATCAGTGGGTTGTGCAGGTGCTGAACCACATGTGGTGGTACAACAGAACCATCGATTATTAGTCAAGACCTATCTACACATGGCTGCGGTTATCACAGAAACAGTTTCCTAACCTGGAGCCTGTAAATAGGATCAACACTTTCTTGAAAGTAAGAGAGCATCTGCCCAACAGGCTAGGAACCAACAGTCTGTATACAATAAGCCAGTTAAGTAAAATGGATGTGCACATAACATCCAAGTCCTAGAATAAAACCAAAGTTCAGAAGTGGATGAACAACCAGGACTTTTTGACCAGAGAGCATCATATGCATAAAATCGCCACTGTTGTAAAAAGGTCACGCTTACTTCTTACAATAATGCATATATGTATTTATTAATTTGTATGTGTGTAACTGATTTATTAAAAATAAAGACAGAAAATGTTTAAGCTATTGCTTTTTGTTGTACACAACAGAAAAAGGTAGAAAAATAGACATAAAAGTTGTTTTCATGAAGAGTATAATTATAACGTTTAAAGAAAACAAGAATAATGTCCACAGATAAAACTGGCTGTCACCCAAAAATAACAATAAATGATGAAGAAACTGAAAATGTCACAAACTTTGAATATCTAGGCTCTATAATAAACAGCAATGGAGACTGTTCGACAGAAATTAAAAGGAGGATGGCCATAGCAATGCAAAGATTGAACAGCCTTAAAAGTCTATGGTTAAGCACCAGCAAGGTGATAAAAATTAGAATTTTGAGAGCATGCATCTTCCCTGTGGCTACATATGGATGTGAGTCGTGGACTATCTCTCAGTCATTAAGAAAGAGAGTAGGGGCTTTTGAGCTGAAATGCTATAGAAAGATTCTCAGAATATCTTGGACAAAGAATAGGAGAAATGTTGACATCTTAAAAGATCTGAACATCAAGGAAGATTGGCTAATAAACAGCATCCTTTTTTGGAAGCTGAAATATTTTGGTCAAATCAAGCGCCACGACGGATTGGAAAAAATTATAGCAGAAGGCATGGTACCAGGAAGAAGGGGCAGGGGCCAGCCGACACGAAGATGGGCACAGGATATAAGTGACTCCTTGAGTATGAAAATACATGGGGCGGGAGAACTGGCGAGAGACTGAGTTTCTTTCAGGCAGACCGTAATGAGAGCGACGTTCTGCAAAGGACCTGCTACATGATGATGATGATAATTATAACAGATTTTGTCCAATATTAGTTTTCAATAGTTTCACAGAAAAAAACGAATTGATTCAGCTCGTGAACATAAAGAAGAAGAAAAAAGCAGGTCTGTTAAATCATAAAGTAATTAAACATAGTACACATAGAATAATTTGATAAAATTTGGCAAGCAGTGATGGAATATTACAATGCATAGTCTCGAGGTAAAGGATGTTTTCCCACACCATTGGTGCATTAGACCTATGCTGCTAGATCAATATGTTCACAAACCAACTGACATTGCATGCAGGATAGGCTAACAACATGTCAGATGCCTTTATTTCCTAGGACGTATTCCAGTACCAGTGAAGGTGGGATGGACCTGGAAGCTCTAGGTCAATATAAAAATAAATACTGATGAGGACTTGAATTCAACACCTTCAGGCATCTAGCCACTACTCTACTAGGGTTTTCACTATCTCCAGTGTTTTTTTTTTCTGTATTTCTCTTCTTTTTGCCATGTGCACCCTGTGGTTGTTTAGCAGTCTGGCAAGTTCAAGTTTCTTATTTCTTATTCCACAGATGTTTAGCTGCAGAATATTAAGCATCTGTGTAGTTTTTGCTATGCAGTCTGAGTTCTCTTTGCTCTCACTCTGAGACCAGACAAGTGGAACACCTTGTACGGGCAGCTTTTGAAAACTTGCAAATTCCATTACATGACATTGGGCCAGAGGTCAAAAGCTCTGCACCGCTGTTTCGATAAGAACAACACTGTCTCAAGTTAAATATAGTTTGCATTACTACTGTTCAAAGAAAATTTTTTATTGTTATCCAATGATGCTCTAGAAAAAAAAAGTGCATAGCTACAGAAAGGAACATAATTCTGTCATCATTTTAAAATTAAAAATCTTAGTAATTTAATGAGCGAAACTGTTCAAATTGCACACAGGAATACCTTAGTGATCGTTTCTTGCCACATGTGATCGTTTCTTGCCACATGTGATCGTTTCTTGCCACATGTGATTGTTTCTTGCCACATGTGATTGTTTCTTGCCACATGTGATCATGTCTTGCCACATGTGATCATGTCTTGCCACATGTGATCGTGTCTTGCCACATGTGATCGTGTCTTGCCACATGTGATCGTTTCTTGCCACATGTGATCGTTTCTTGCCACATGTGATCATGTCTTGCCACATGTGATCGTGTCTTGCCACATGTGATCGTTTCTTGCCACATGTGATCGTTTCTTGCCACATGTGATCATTTCTTGCCACATGGGATCATGTCTTGCCACATGTGATCGTTTCTTGCCACATGGGATCATGTCTTGCCACATGTGATCATGTCTTGCCACATGTGATCGTTTCTTGCCACATGGGATCATGTCTTGCCACATGTGATCGTGTCTTGCCACATGTGATCGTTTCTTGCCACATGTGATCATTTCTTGCCACATGTGATCGTGTCTTGAAACATGTGATCGTTTCTTGCCACATGTGATCATTTTTTGCCATATGTGATCATTTCTTGCCACATGTGATCGTTTCTTGCCACATGTGATCATTTCTTGCCACATGTGATTGTTGCTTACCACATGTGATCATTTCTTGCCACACGGGCTTTACCATCGAATAATCAAAATGCATCATTGGATAACTTGCATTCTTTTTTTTAAAAACAGGAAAGCGCCATTGGATAACTATGCAGTTTTTTAAAACAGTATATAAGCACTGGTGAATAAACACACACATTATTACATATGCACACACATTAACAATCATACTATACACACACTGTTATGTGTACTGTGCTGAGATCCTCCCTGTATGATCTGTAAAAGAAGACAGATCACTTATGATGGTATAAAAATCTAAAATTTAAAAAAATGTATACAGTTTACCTTTTCGTAGGTATTGGCTGTGGCAATGATTTGTGGGATACTGCCTTTGAAGATCTGATTCACAACTGACGCTGACGGATTCTGGAATACAAATATATAAATAATGATTCCATTTCTGAATATTATTTGTATCTTACAATTTTGTAAAATACATCAGCTCAACCACTGAAACAATGCTTGCCACTCTTCACGGAGCATACTTGTCTCCATCTTTCTCAACATGCTCTGTGAGTTGGTTACAGTTATGACATGTGTATACACCTGTTTCTCTAGCCAGCAAAAGGCTGCAGTTACTGCCTTCACCTCCATTATCAAACTTGATGTTGTGGTGACATATGCCAGGCTTTGCTGCACTAAGTGACAACCATTCACTTTTGCAAAGAACACCCCTGAGCTTCGTCTGCCTTTCAACACATCCATCTGTATAGATTGTCAAATCACCTGGGCGAGAATTGTCATAAATCAATTAGTGAACTTCTGATTCTGTGCATCTCATTGGCCAGTCCCTGCATTCAGCCCAGTTTGGTCAGAACCCTCCACAAATCTGAGTTTTGCTGGGACATTCTGACCTACTTCTCTCCTTGCCCAATATTATCAAGCCTGCACACATGTCTAATTGTGTCTTCAGTTTGCACCATCCCAGACATTTCCTTTTTTCCATCTGTGACCCTTAGCTCTGTCTAGGGCTTCATGTAGATGATGTTTCTTATCTGTGGCTACTCTGACTTTGCATGCAGAACCTTGAGCCTTTCTGTAATAGTTTGCAGTGCAATTATATATTGCATACATACTACTGGAGTATCTCTTGTTTATTCCAGAATTATCCTCATGTCTTCATTCTGTAGGCGTTCAAGTTTCATCAGCTGACACTTTGTTATGGTAAGCATTCCAAGTCCATAATCTAACACCGACAGGATCACATGCTGGAACATTGTGAACCTATATCTACTGTTAATATACAGAAAAAAATGAACACAAACAACAGAAACTAGACAAACTAACAAAATTGAACTTAATAAAAGCTTATAAAAAGAACAAATAACTAAAACATCCATTAAGTGTTCAGTTTTAATAAATTCTCTACAAGTTTACAGACTACTAAAAATCAAAATACAATTACGTATTATTGTAAGAAGTAAGCATATGAACTTTTACACCAGTGGTCCATTTGGCATATGATTCTAGACTCATTTTTGTAAAGATCTGTCGGCACTTAGAGGGCACTTTACCTCCAAGAACATTACCTGGTACCCATTTTAAGTTTGGCAACCAAAGTAAATAATAAAAAAAAAAAGCACCTGGAAGTGCCTTCAAACACAAGACCTTTGGGCAGGCAAGCAAGCATTTAAAGTATTATTGTATTTAAGAAATTACAATTACAGAGACACTTGTACAATTGTGAGTTTTATATTTGCTGTTAAAATCCTTGGTAAAGTTGGGGATTTTTTGTTGGGAGCAAAATGAAATCCTAACCTGCCCAGTCTGTGGTGACAGCACTAGCCATGTGGCCCTTAATCCTCCGACTCAACCCCCCCTCATTTGCAGAAGTGATAAATGCAGGCCGTAATGGCATGTTTTTGAAAAAAATCTTGTTTGCAGAATAATAATTATACAGAAATGACTGACATGACATGGACAATTACCCCACGTAATTTCTTTGCATCTTCCTCTGCTTTCTTCTGGTCCACTTTGGTATCTTTCTCTTTCTTTCCACTAACAAGATCAACAAGGAAGTCTCTAAGCTCTCCATTAGTCTCACTCCTCAAAGCTGACTCTAGATCTTTCTTGTATTCTTGAAATAATAAAAGATTACAAATATTAACTATTTTTATTCATGACTTCTTTGCACCAATTACTAATTTAATTAAGAAATACATCATTTAAAATCAAAGAATATCTCTTCTGGACTTATATTCTGCCTTGAGATTTGTTATAAAATTACAATCTGATGTGCATTTACTAGCAGTGGTAATAAACATCATTGTGCCATACTAAAAGGCACAACTATTTACAAATAAAAATAATAATAATCATATTTCCATTTATAATTAATAAGGAGACTTGTATGAGGTACTGCTGAATTCCACGTTGCCAGCATTATCCAGTAAATTTTTCATAATTTGTGCAAACACTGACAAATATTACAGCTTCTTTATTTACTTTAAGAGTCAGCTGTAAGAGTCAGCAGTAGGAGTCAGCAGTAGGAGTCAGCAGTAGGAGTCAGCAGTAGGAGTCAGCCGTAGGAGTCAGCAGTAGGAGTCAGCAGTAGGAGTCAGCAGTAGGAGTCAGCAGTAGGAGTCAGCAGTAGGAGTCAGCAGAAGGAGTCAGCAGTAGGAGTCAGCAGTAGGAGTCAGCAGTAGGAGTCAGCAGATGGTCTCGTCAATTTTCAAAGCACATGGGACATTAATTAGGTGGTCTTTTAAAAAAGCTGCAGCTGGTATCATAGAGTTAAAGTTGAAATCGAGAGGATCGGCTTCATTGCGCTAGGTTTGATCCCATATGGCTTGGTCTCTCTCTGCAGAATGGCTAGCCGCCTGCTGACAGCATAGCACAGAGCAGGAACTCCTCAGCTCCAGTGAGGTTCCCCAGTTATCTTTGTAAGATTGCACCAATGAACTGAATGACACAGCCAGGAAATGAACCATGGCCAGCTCCAGGCCAAACAGGTACAGGGATTTTCCAGTTTTGTTAGACCGGTCTGTGCTCACCATTGTTATCGAGTAATTTATACACAAATTAAACTTTAATAAGCTTGCAACATATTTTACTGAATATTTTATTATTATTATTTTTATTATTATTCTATTTTCTAATGGCTCACTTATTTATCTTTATAATGATAATTCATTCCATAATATATGTTGCAGGTTAATTAAACTGTAGTTTAATCTGTATTTAAATTTACTCAATAACAATGGTGCAGCGGCCTAACAAAATGAGAATTTCCATAGACCTGTTTGGCCTTAATATTGGAGCTGGCCATGAAACGAACCCACGACCTTCAGAGCGTGAGGGAAATGGCTTGACCACTTCACCACGGAGACCCCCCCAGTTGGTACAATTAGTACAATTAGCTTTGCTGGCTAATAGGAAAGGGCCCCAGTATGGATAGAAATATCCTAAGTGCGGTTATTATTCTTGATTCCTTCATTCATTCACATTTATATGAAGATGAACTTAACATCCCATGCAATCTAAAATTGCTTAGATCACAACTAGGATGGCATTGCTTGACTATACAGGAAAAGACCTGTAGTTTATTACAGAGGTACAATAATGTAGAGCACCATCCCTCCCCCCTTTTTCCAACACCCCCCCCCCCCCCCCCCCCCCCCCCGGCCACAAAAAACCTTAACTGATTATATGAACGTCTGTAAATTACCTATGACAATGGAACACTTGTTGCACATAGCCTCAGAAACCTGTCTGGCAAAGTCAAGAAATGTATTACTAGAAAGAACTTAAATAGAAGATTGAGGAATGCCCTTGTTATGTTTGAAGAAATTTCTGCTAAAGATAAAACTGACAACGATAATCAACTATTATTCTAATGGCACAATAAAAAATAAAAAAAAACCATTATTTTAATGACAAAATGTTAGTGATATTATCTAAACCTTCTTAGCACATATTTTATCTTAATCCCAACCAACCAACCAACCAACCAAACCAACCAACCAACCAACCAACCCACCAACCAACCAACCCACCCACCCACCCACCCACCAACCAACCAACCAACCAACCAACCAACCAACCCACCCACACACAAAAAAAGTAAACAAAGCAATATTTGAAATAATAATACAAATTACAAAATTGTCCTAATTAAATAACTACACAGTATATAAAAAAAAACAAATATATACTATAACCTGATGAGCACTTTATATCCAAATTATTACCCATAGGGCAGAATTTTTATTCAAATTACCACTACTGCTATAATTAATTTGCCAATTCTCACCTTTCTTGTAGACGTTTTTAATGTCATTCATCTCAGCTGCTGACTTGGAGCAGATAACACCAATAAGGGCCTTCTCATTTGTGCCAGGACCTTTCATAGCTTTGTTCAATGTGTAAGCATCAAGGTCCACAGGTGGCATCATCAGTGACTGAATCACCTCTCTGAAGTCTCCACTTAGCTCGTTGTTAAAGGTCTCCACCAGATTCTGGAATTAAAATTAAAAAAAAAAAAAAATCTACAGTGAGGTACAGATTCAGTTAACAGAGTAATAAATTTTTTTTTAAATCATGAAACTTCTACAGGAGATTATCAGAGACAGAACTGCCTTCTTCTTTGTCATTGATTTGATTTAGGCAGTTTTGTAGGCATTCTGTACTTTCTGCTATGAGTACCTGATTTTCATCAATTAGTATTTCTGTAATATCTTCTTTGTGGTTAAAGTTCGTTTCTGTACAAATAGTATCCATATATGTGACGGAACTGCCTACGGACAATAAACCGTAACTCTGCTGAACAAAAATGATGTTATGTTATCATAAACAGTGTCACCGCACTCTGGGAAATCACATACTTTACAATGAAGCAGCACCCCAAACTTACCTGTGTGTTGGATCCACTTGCATTATGTTTCCCAGTCTTTTCTTCTCTCTCACATTTTGATAGAAATCTAACGACCTCAACATCAACAGAAACCCATTTGGACTGTCTGTGCGTAGCAAGATATTTGTTTATTTCTGGTTTTCCACCAAAATAATGTGTAGTTAGTTATCCCGTCTTTAAGCAGTAAGAAATAAAAAAATTTACAGGCACTCATCGACACTGAGAGAAAATAGAGACAGGTCACACTAGACAATATAAAAATCAAAATTTGTAGAGACTAATCCCATTAACTATATAAATTCTTCTTCTTCTTCTTCTTCTTCTTCTGCGTTCGACATCAGTCATGCTAGACATTGAGTCCCCCATCTGGGTCACAAATAGGATTGTTCGTTTAAGGTCGTCACCGGTCCCCCATAGCTTCTCTTTCAATGTGGCTCCCTTGGGCCAGACCCACAGTCTTTGCTGGGAGAGGTTAGGGCAGTACTGTAGTATGTGCCCAGGGGTCTGTCTTTCTACTCCACAATCACAGGCAGCAGATTCTTTTATGCCTATCCTGTACAGGTGTGCTCGAAGACCACAGTGTTCAGTCTGAAGTCTAAAAATTGTTATTTGTTCTTTCCTGTTGAGTTTGTTTATGCTGTCACTCTCTGGTCTGTAATCTCCATTCTGCCTTCTCCACTCCCGCTTGAAAGACTGCTTTAGCGCTGTTTTGGTTTACTTATAGCTGTGTGGTGGATGAGGTTGTGGAAGATTACTCCCAGCTATATAAATTCTATTAACTACAGTTTCAGTGCCTTGCGTCTACTACTATTTTTACTGTTTTCTTCTGCACTGATCAATACTTTAACATACATTTACAATGTTATTTTAATTTCTCTGTTAAACGTTTCTATATATTAGCAGCAACAACGAACTTTGCGGCTGTTATATCTGAATTAATAGTCTGACATTTGTTTATTCTGATGTAACATAAACCTCATCGGCTATCCTCCGAATAACGGTCATAAATTATCGAGGTAGAAAATATACCCTAACAGGGCCTCAGTCACGTGTCAATTGCACACTTCCGTCGTCTCAAAATGCGCGCTTACGCCGACTTCCGCCACCGGACACTCGGCGGTGGCGGAAGTTGCCAGAAGTGAGCAATTGACACGTGACTGAGGCCCTGTTAGGGTAGATTTTCCGCCTCGATAATTTACGACCGTTATTCAGAAGATAGCCACCTCACCTTATAAAAAATCTGGAAATTCCGTACTTTGAAAAGTGAGCCTATATGACTGATAGATGACTGGTAGATGACTGATAGATGACTGATAGATGACTGATAGATGTCTGATAAATGACTGATGGTGAAAGAATTAATTTTGTTTCCTCATGTGGAATCTGGGGCTTTATCTTGGGAATAAAGAATGGACCCACTGATCCTGTAATAAGCATATTGTAAAAGCTGACTAATGAGGAATCCCCCCCCCCCCCCCCCCCTTGAGGTTGGAGTGCGTTTACCTGAAAGGCAAGGAACAGTCTATATACAAATAAAGCAGGTCTGTAAAATGGATGTGTATGCATAACTCAGGTTCTAGAAGAAGACCAAAGTCCAGAAGTGGATGAACAACCAGAACTTTCCGCTGAAGTTTACAGCTGGTGCATGCAAAGAAGAAGACATGAGAATAATGAGAACACAAATGACAGATTAAAAGTGTAATGAAGATAAAATGAAAGAAACTGACTCAAAAAGAGAACCGATTACCTACATCATGAAGTCATCTACACTCTTTAATCACATCATGAGAAGGAGAACATCATGACCTTGGGAAGGGTACAGGATAGAAACACAGAGGGAAACCAAGAGAAAAGATACTGGACAGTTGGACATTGTGGAATATAAGATCATTTGTGTCAACAAATGACTAAAACTACACTGAAGCTGTGGATAGACATGCCTACCTACACAGTATGGATGATAAAAAGAAGAATGTGAGACAAAAAGGTCTTACCACTTAACCATGACGGACCCTAATTTGATAAAACTACACATATATAGTCATGGAAACTTGAAAAAAAACCCAATAATTTCACACCAACCTTATCATAAATTTCAGTGAATCTTTTCTTGACTGTCTGCCTCTGACTGTTTGAGTTTCGTGTAACAACTTCAATGATGACATCCTCTTTTGTTCCAGGCCCTTTCATTGCTTTGTGCAGTTTCACAGCATCTTCATCATTTTCATTAATTGGATCATCATGCTCTTTCTTCTTCTTGGGGCTGGGTTTCTCCTCTCCAACTTTGTCAATAATCTTGATGAGAGTGTCTCTGTAGTCTCCACTTGTTTCCTTCTCCACGTCTGACTTCAACGGCTGACCATACAGTTGTCCGTACTGGCCTTTGATTTCTGGCAGATCCAACTGGAAAATAAAAATGACATTTTGTATGTCCCGATGTTCAAGATATTTTTACAAAACAGACATGGATAGCTTATTCACAATATTCATGACAGATTTGGTGTCTTTAAATATAATGTGAAAGGGGAAAATATCTGAGTCTATAATTGTACAAATACTATGGCAATTCACTGCAGTTGTTTACTTACACACATACTGTTGTCAGTTGAGGCTTATTCAATATTATTTTAAGCAGAAGGTAATAAATACTAGTGAATTAACTATTAAACATGTGTATGCTATCTATCCTAGTGAAGGTATGAATAAAGGAATTCAAATAATAACAACATATATCACATAGATGACTGCACGCAATAACTGATATTAGGTCACTCACCTCAGATCTGGATACCGCAATCCATGTGAGCTGTGTATTATTGGTGCCTGGTCCTTGCATAGAAGTTTTTAGCCTTTCTGCGAAGAACTCGGTTTTATCTTCTTTAGCCTTCACTGTAATTTATTATAAATAGAAACATGTATTTTAAAATAACAGTATATTTGATATTATATGATTATCTCTCTAAAGAAACAGATTGCCTGTTCAGTGTAAAAGAATAACTGAAATAAGTAAATTGAGAAACATATTCTCCTTATGTATGTGTGAACACCTGGGTCTGGTAGTCTGGTAGTCTTAGTTTCAGCTTCATAGCAAACGGGTCACCCCATCTTTGCTCTGCTCCTGTGCCAACGAAAAACACACAGAATGATTATCACAGTCCCTTGTGGAAAGATCGACAGACTGCTGTCTCAGCATATCTAGTATACACTTGAGTAATAGTAAGTAAAGGTCCCTTCATGAGGTGCATTAGCTGATTCAAACATTTTTATTGTGATTCTTTCAGAGAGCAAAGTAAACAAACCGGCAAACTGCATATAACTTTTCAGCCTTTCTGCGAAGAACTCGATTTTATCTTCTTTAGCCTTCACTGTAAATCATTATAAATAGAAACAGATATTTCAAAATAACAGCATATTTGATGTAATATTGATCATTCTAAAGAAACAGATTGCCTGTTCAGTGTAAAAGAATATTTAAAATAAGTAAATTGAGTATGTAGCAGTAACATATTCTCCTTATGTATTACTAAACACTTGAGTAATAGTAAGTAAAGGACCCTTCAAGAGGTGCATTAGCTGATTCAAGAATTGTTTATGTGATTCTTCAAAGAGCAAAGTAAACAAACCGGCAAACTACATAGAATCCTTTCAACTTAAGACCCCATTAGATAGCTGAGCACAGATTAAAATAGTTTTTTATCTTAATGGAATTTAAAATCAGCTTCACCACTGAACCAAGGAACACATCTATGTTGAAAGAGTCATACAAATTTCCATGACAGATGAATTTACATGAACTTGTGAACAAGTGGCCTATTTATGACTAGGTGAAAGTAGTGCAGTAATCGGAAATTTTCAAACTGGCCAGCAAATCAGAAGTCCAATCTTCAGTCATGACTGCAGTTCAAGCTGAAGTGTGATAACGACATGAGTAGTCCATCCAGTTATTGATCTCCTTGTCTTCCTCTTACTCTCTTTCTATCAATCTTGCAAGCAGTTACCCAGGTTTTCAGTCAAAATGGAGGATAGGTACATTCACTGTTTTTAGTTGTGGCAAATTTTTCTTCTGATAGATGGTGGCCGTTGCATTTTCCTCTATTTGTAGACAAAGGGTATAGTTTTGTCACCCAGCTACTGAGCTGAGTGCATGGTGTGACACTGTAGGCTGTGATTTCATCTGGAATGTTTTTTGACTGTGACCGATGTGGAGTTATGAACTGTAGATTCAGAAATGGTGAATGGCCTGTAGCCCCATAATTGATGGTGCTTTATGTGGTTAAAATTAATCGTGTGTGCCAATACTGATCTGTTTCTGTTGATGATGAACTGCATTTTAAATGTCGGACTGTTAGTGTTAGCACTTCTGATGGCTGTCTCATGCTTTCAATGCATGTGTATACTAGTGGATAAGCTGAGATTGCAGCCTTTGAAAATTTCTTTTTACAAGGGACAGTGATGGTCATTCTGTGTTTTTTTTTTTATTGGCACAGGAAGGGAGCAACTATGGGTTGACCTGTCTGCTCTGACGGTAAAACATATTACAAGATGTTACTCAGTTCTCAACCCATTTCTTATCATAATATGTCCAGAATGGTAGAACAAAGAACAGAGTCAAGTATAAAAAACAGTAACAAAATGCATGTTGCTCAATGTTGGAAAAAATTTAAAACAGCAATTTAAAAAGAGAAAAAAACAGGAAGGTGACACATAACACTTACGCAAAGCTAGATATGCATCCTCACAATCTCCACTTGTTGCCTTTTTGATAGGCTCTGAGATATCTTCATTATACATCTGCATAAAAGGATTATACAAATTACTTTTGAGCAAATGAACATTTACACATGTTACAATACAGACAGCAATGCAGTGAACATCTGATCTGTTCTGCCACTTTTTCTTCTTCTTCAGCATTCTGAGCCCTTGAGGTTCATTGCTGCAGATATCACCCGCCTCCATTCATCTCTCTGATTGGCCTTCTCTTTCCAGTTGGTGACACCAAGTGTTTGCAGTTCTGTCTGGATATTATCTGTCCATGATCTTCTTGGTCTGCCTCATGGTCTAAGACCATACAAATCCCTCGTGTATACAGTTTTTACTTCTCTGTCATCTGACATTCTTTAAATATGCCCCAACAATTTCAGTCTATTAGCTCTCATGGTGCCAGTGATCAGTGGTGATTTAAACAGATTTCTATTCAGCCACGATGTAAGTAAATATAGTACTCATGCAATAATTTCGTTTACTGTGTGAGACCAGTAGCCCCATTGTGGGGAGAGGGGGAGAGAATAGACTGACTGCTCCCTAACAAGCATGTAAAAAATGTTGACTAATTAACTATGGTGCTTCCTTTAAGTTCGGAGTGCATCTGCCTGAGAGATAGGGACCAACAGTCTGCATACAAATAAGCCAGATCTGTAAAATTGATGTGCTTGCAGATCTCAGGTTCTGAATGTTAATTATTTATTTAAAGATCATCTTCATCGAATGTTGGACATGACCACAAGTGCTCCAGTCTCCTCCTGAGTGTGTCTCTGAGTGTTTCGAGGCTAATCCCCTTTCTGTTCTAGTTGGTCTAACAATGGGTGGCTCCCACAAGGTTTTCTTGTCTCTCTGCTTTAAGTGGTACACCCAGGGTATAAAGTCTATTCAGAGTAGAATCAATCTCGATGAAATTTGAAATCCTCACAGTGTTTACTTTCTTATGGCACTGATGATGTCGCTCCTGTCCATAGATGTCCCATTCATGATAGTAGCACTGTCAGCCAGGACATCTGCTCCCTCATTGCCATCCACATCTGCATATCCTGGGAAAAAAAACTGAAGGTGATTTTGCAAATCTCTGCATGCTGTGTCAGATGGATTCACTGTTTCAGTATATTCACTGGCTTGAACTTCTGTGACATGCTCATCGAGTCACTGAGCAAACTTGCATTAGTGAATTACTGAGCCTTCATCCATTCTAGGGCCTTTGTCACAGCCTCCATTGTTATGCTGCTAGGGGTTCTGAAACATTACTACAGTTCAAAAGTGGACGAAAAGCCAGAACTTTCCTCTGGAGTTTACAGCCGGTGATTGCCAAAAAGACAAAGATTAGAATTTGACGAACAGCCAGAACTTTCCTCCGGAGTTTACAGCTGGTGAACGCGAAAAAAGACGAAGACTAGAATTTGATAAACTGGCGATCAGCTTCAGGTGATCATTGAAAAAAAAAAGTATAACATTAAAAATGTTTACAATTTACCCTTTCATAGGCATTGGATGTAGCAGTGATTTGTGGGATACTGCCTTTGAAGATCTGGTTCACAACTGAAGCTGAAGGATTCTGGTTGATAAAAATTTAAACAATGAGAGTGACTTTTTCTTGAAATCTAAATCAATAAAAAAAAAATAACAATAATAAATCAATGCAGTCATTCCTTAATGAATTCCATTACAATTCATGTATGTAAAAATCTTAATATTATTGGAAAACAAATTTCTAGTAGGTTATGGTACCAAATTATGTGGCGTCCGTGGCCTAGGCATTGCGAATCTGACTCGTAATTCCAACAGACCGTGATCGAAACCCACTGCTGGCTGCGTGGATTTTTATCATGGTATGGGGTGTCGCAGGTCTACCCAGCCTAAAATGGGTACCAGGATGTTTGTCCTGAGAAAGTAAAGATGGCTGATGTAATGCTGACCACATTATCCACACAGTGCCGATTGGTCTGTAAAAATATCGGTGCTCTTCCCGTATGCTCGATGTGCCTAAAGGTGTGAAAAGGGATCTTTACTTTCTTTACTTTATGGTACCAAATTGATGAAGATTCATCATAAATACAGCAGGTACTTTAAAGGGAAACATAAGCAAACTCACAAAAGACAGTATATTACTGCCACATAATCTGCAGAGATAAATGACAGCTGTACCATTAATACTGTATGAAAGTTATGAAATGTCAATATTAATTATTCAGGTGAATACATCTAGCATGCATCTTTTTTATTTTTTGTTGTTGCTTTTTTGGTATGGATATTTGGATTTATCAGTTATTTTTTTTATGTGGAACTATGATAAAAATATAATACTGAACAAAATATTTTCAGATTTTAACCCTACCAGACCTGAACCTAACTGTCCCTATAACCTGAGCTCCTGAGCACTAACACGCAAAAAAAACCAACATGATGTACAAAAAAAAAATTAGTTACATGCAAACAAGTGGCTAGAATAAAATAAAACTTGGAGACATTGTGGAAAATAGGTTTACCTTTCATCTAGCGCCAATCTTCCCCCTTTGTGTGCCAATCCACCTAGTAGGATCAGTCTTGTTTCACAAAGTAAGCACCAGATGTTGCTGTTTGAGGGACACACCCCCTTCTCTCACTATCGATCTAGTTTTAAATCTATAATTTTCATAATTCTCCTCCTCACTATAGTTCTCACTGACTCACTTCAACTGGGAACGTATTCTTTATGAACGTATTCACAGTCTGAATTAACCAAAGTATCGATCTACTGTTGGACTGTGATAAGCCTAGACCTACGTCACTTTCTTGTTGAAGCCGCTCGTTTCATTGAGAATTTTCCGAATTTTTTTTACATCAAACAACACAAAAAAAATCTCAACACACGTCGGAAGTCCTTTGCAATGACTAACAACGAAGTCTGATGGCGATTGGCTGGTTATTTTTAGTCTGTGACGCATATTTGTCACGTACTACGTAAATTCCCGGAAAAGTGGGCCAGCGGTTTAGCGGCTGGTTAGGAAATTCCCGGAAAAACGGGCCAGCAGTCTGGTAGGGTTAATGTTAATTAAAGCATCTTCCATATGTCTATTTTTCCTACCTCTGTTTACTGGTGTACATGAAAAAGAAACAATAGCTAAAACAATTCAAGACAGTTCCATTTTAATTATTTAGTTACTATTTTAAAAAAAATTTTTAAATTATAATAAACATAAAATTTATTGTATCTGAAAAATAACAATTACATCGATGACCATGCAATTGTGGCTTTTATATTTCCTGTTTAAAAAACTGATACCAAAGGCTAACTAGTTATGGGAACATATTTTGAAGCAATTCTGATAATGACAAGCAGTTACCCCATGCAATTTCCTTGCATCTTCCTCTGCTTTCTTCTGGTCCACTTTGGTATCTTTCTCTTTCTTTCCACTAACAAGATCAACAAGGAAGTCTCTAAGATCTCCATTAGTCTCACTCTTCAAAGCTGACTCTAGATCTTTCTTGTATTCTGGAAAGAATTAAAGATTACAACTATTTACTATTTTATTAATTATTTTTGTGCATCAGCTACAAACTTTACTACAAAATGCATTTTTTGAAAATCACCAAATACAAAGCTTTTTTGTTAATCTTGTCTCAGACAGGTGTTATGGTAATCTTGGTAGCCAGTCACCCCACAGTTGCTCCGCTCCTGTGCCAACGAAAAACACACAATATTCGTTGCAGTCCCTTGCGGAAAGATTGTCAGACTGCTGTCTCAGCATATGCACTAGCATACACATGCATTAAAAGCATACGGTAGCCATCAGAAGTGCTAACACAAACAGTTTGACATTATAAATGCAGTTCATCATCGACGGTAGCAGAAGTCGCCAACAGATCAGCAGCTGCGCACGCGATCAATATTAATCACATAACGGCAAAGGTGTTATGTCATAACGATTATTACATCAGTGGAATCTGGTGTGTATTTACTAGTGACAGCAATCAAGATCTCATTTCACAGGTTCCTAAATCATACTCTGGTTTCCAGTATATAGCCTAACCCTATAGTCTGGACTTCAATTTATTTTGAAACTGTCAGAGGCCCCAATACAACCTGACAGTTCAACAGGCTTTCTGGGATATGTATCTGGGGGATTCTCATCCGAATGGTGAAGCTTTGTACTTTGCAGCACAGGGTGTTAATCACTCAGTGTGTGGTCCTAGTTTGGTTAATCTTCACTCACTCATCCTTAAATGTGAGGCGGTGGGGGTCGGTCACTGCTGGAGTCAGAGCTGAGGTTTTAATCTGTCTGTCAAATCATTGTGCTCAATCACAAGGTTTAACAGAGTAAAGGGCTCTAAATATGTCCAAGTCCAAGTCCTTTTGAGAAAAAAAAAAGAAAAGCTCGACCACGTTCAGACTGCTGTCTAAATATGTGCCAAAGTCAGCTGGAAACAGTTACTTGCCAGAATGAGAAAATTAGTGTCAAAATAAATGTTTGCCATTGGTCAACTGTGTAATTTTTTTTTTCTACTCTGCATTATCCTGTTTTCATAGTTTTCTACTTCTGTGTTTGCCTTAAAAAAAACGATTGGCAAGTTATGTTGTGGTTTACAACTAGGCTGTGATATCTGCACTTTTCAGTCCAACACATTAACATTTCAGCAGGCCACTAAAAAGTTGTCTTTTTCAACATGCTTAATAGGGGGCATGCTGTCTATTCTTTTGTTCTCTCCAAAATGGGGCACTATAACCCACAGGAGGAACATAATTTGTGAAAACATTGACAAATGTTATTTCAGTATTCTCACCTTTCTTGTAGACAGTTTTAATGTCATTCATCTCAGCTGCTGACTTGGAGCAGATAACACCAATAAGGGCCTTCTCATTTGTGCCAGGACCTTTCATAGCTTTGTTCAATGTGTAAGCATCAAGGTCCACAGGTGGCATCATCAGTGACTGAATCACCTCTCTGAAGTCTCCACTTAGCTCGTTGTTAAAGGTCTCCACCAGATCCTGCGATTAAAATAACAGAACATTTTAAAGACTTGTTCACAGTTTATGGGAATAAATATACTATTGGATATTTCTTCAGGAGGTTATCAGTAAAGAGAATTATCTGAAGATCAGAAGAGGTTACACTATTTTACAAGAGTTATGTCATCCGAATTATCCCTACTGCACACTGGGATTTTATCTCACATAGCTCTGTTTCTGTTGTCTGACTGGTCTCTTGCTGAGAATGTTACACAAACTCTGTAGCTCCAGCAACAACCGCCAGAGATATATAAAAAGCCACATTTGTGAACCACACAGAGAAGTCTAAAACTGAGTTTCTGAATAGGAGCAAGACAGTTTGACCACTTTGCCACAGAGGTTCCTAGACTGATAAAATGTACACTTCAAGTCATGGAGATTTTCCCAAGTGGGTTCCAGAGTCCCAGGTGAGGGAAAGAATATATCCATTGACACTCCCTCCTACCCATCCCCCTTACCCTTACAAGTGTGGCAGAGAAGGTGACTAATAAGGGGTGTATCCTTTGAAGTGAGTGCGTCTGCATATGAGAAAAAGAACCAACAGTCCTTATACAAATAAGCCAGATCTACAAAACAGATGTGCACACAAAAGTCAAGTTCTAGAAAAAGACTGAAGTCAAGAAGTGGACTCCCCTTGTGGGTTCCGGGCCCCATCGTGGGGAAAACAAGAATAGACCCACTGCCTACCCAACAAGCATGTCGTAAGAGTCGACTAATCAGTGAGCTTCCTTTGAAGTCGGAGTGCATCTCCCTGAGAGGCAAGGAACCAGCAGTCTGCATTCAAGTGAATCAGATCTGTAAAACTGATGCACATGCAACACTCAGGTTCTGGAGCAGGACTGCAGTTCAGAAGTGGACGAACAATCAGAACTTTCCACCAGAGTGTACAGCTGGTGAACGCGAAGAAGAAGAAGAAGAAAAAGTGGATAACTAGAACTTTCTGCTGAAGATTACACCCAGTGAGCGCTAAGAAAAAAGAAAATGTAAATTTCACACTAACCTTATCATAAATTTCAGTGAATCTTTTCTTGACTGTCTGCCTCTGACTGTTTGAGTTTCGTGTAACAACTTCAATGATGACATCCTCTTTTGTTCCAGGCCCTTTCATTGCTTTGTGCAGTTTCACAGCATCTTCATCATTTTCATTAATTGGGTCTTCATGCTCTTTCTTCTTCTTGGGGCTGGGTTTCTCCTCACCAACTTTGTCGATAATCTTGATGAGAGTGTCTCTGTAGTCTCCGCTTGTTTCTTTCTCCACGTCTGACTTCAAGGGCTGGCCATACAGCTGTCTGTACTGACCTTTGATTTCTGGCAGATCCAACTAAAAATGAAAATGACAATCAAATGACCAGACTTACAAGATATTTTTAGGAAACACACATGGAGAGTTTATTTATAATTTGCATGAAACAAAAGGTATCTTAAAAGACAATGTGAAAGGGCAAGTATCTGTCTGTACAAATCTTATGGCAACTCATTGCAGATGTTTACCTGTATAAATACTGCAATGAGGTTTATTATTCAATATTATTTTAAGCATAATGTAATAAATGACACCTACCAGACACATGCAATTACTGAAGAAGAATGGGCACAATCTAACCTTTCTTGTTTCTCATAGTGATAGATTATGTTGAGAAGAAAGCAACCACAGTGGAACTTTCTAGAACAACTGGAGCATTTGGACTTTGCAGATGATATCTGTGTCATCAGCCAAAGTAAAGAACATCTACAACAAAAGATAGATAAGATCACAGAAATAGCAAAACAAACAAGGTTAAGAATCAATGGCAATAAAGCAAAATTGCTGGAGATAAACCCTAAAAGAGAAAGACCTATGGTAATAGATAATGTAGGTTAGGAAACAGTAACTGACTTTCCTTACCTAGAAAGCAATATCTCCTCAAATGGAAATGTAGTGGCTGAAATCAAGCAGAGAATTGCAAAGGCAAATGCTGCTTACAACAGAGTGTCTGGAGATCAAACATCTACAGCATTAAAACTAAACCCAGGATATACAAAACATGCGTTAGGACAGTTCTCCTCTATGGAGCAGAAACTTGGAAAACAGACAGAAAGAAAGAGAGCAAGCCCAGAGGTTTTGAGGGAAGACTTCTCAGAAGATTGTTGGGGCTCACATAGGAAGATAAAACTAGCGATTCTAGATAACAACAAATGACAGACCTAAAAGATGTAAATTTAGAAATTTAAAAAAACGAAGATGGAGGTGGACTGTACACATCCTTAGAATGAAGAAAGACAGATTGATAGAGACAGGCAATGCAATGGACACCACAAGGACAGCGAGGAAGATGCAGGCCCAGAGGCCCTGTGAGGCAAAACCTTTGATGTTAAACTCAAGTCTACTCCAAGGACAAAACTGGAGATAGGCTGGCTCATGATTGAACTGAGTGTCTCTGCCTTATGTGCCACTGGGCGCGATGAGGATTGATTGATTGATTGTGATAAATGTTACTGAAATAACTAAGATACACATGTTATACTATGCATTCTGGTGAAGTGTGAACAAAAGAATGCTTAAAAAAACCACCACCAATATATATCATATAAGAAGTAACTGTGACATTTGGTAATTCCCCTCACCTCAGGACTGAAATAATCCTCATTGTCTATCGATCCAAATCAAATTGTATTTCAAATAAAATAATAAACTGGGTATATCACTTAAATGATGGAATTAACTAACTAGGACATTAGGTCACCTACCTCTGATCTAGATACCAAAATCCATGTGAGCTGTGTATCATTGGTGCCTGGTCCTTGCATAGAAATTTTCAGCCTTTCTGCGAAGAACTCTGTTTTATCTTCTTTAGCCTTCACTGTAATTCATTATAAATAGACATAGAGTACAAACCAATATTATCTGTGATGTAATATCATTCATGGTAGTCTCAGTTGCAGATAGGTGCTTACCTGTCGAACTAAAGTTTTAGGGTTCAAATTCACATTGCAGCTAATTTGAAAAACAAAAACAAAAAAACGTATCCATTCCCTCCTGTGTAATTGTTTCATTGTCATCTATGACATTTTGCCCAGCACTTTCTCTTCTCTCACCAGCCTCGCACCATGTGTCTATAGATATTTTTTTCTGACTAAACATGAGATACATAAGCAAATACAACCGCTGAATGGTATGCTTGAACAAAGTTAAAAGTTAAATACACAGATGGGTCAGTTGTATGAGGAGTGCATGGGCATTCACAGCTCCTTCTGCAGGCAGACAAGCCCAGGAAAACATTGGTGCCTTCTCTATGACTACCAGCAGCAAGACGGAGATGATAGTGGTGACACAAGGTTTCATGTGGCTGGAAGACAATGGAGATGATAGTGGTGACACAAGGTTTCATGTGGCTGGAAGACGATGGAGATGATAGTGGTGACACAAGGTATCATGTGGCTGGAAGACGATGGAGGTGATAGTGGTGACACAAGGTTTCATGTGGCTGGAAGACAATGGAGGTGAT